TGAAGGTATCACATAGAGCAACTTTTGATTCCTTAGGATGCTCAGGAACCGCTTTGGATCTGACATCCAAAACAGAGATTCAGGTCGAAATACGATAATTTTGCATTTTTCAACTCCTCCTGACCTGGATCTCAAATATAGTCACTATGAGTAATCCTATAGTCAAAGGTCGTTGACGAATGCTACTCGGCCTTCAACATCGCATCCGAAGCACCTTCTCTGGTGCTTGATGTTTTTGAAGGTCTACCGAAGGCATCCATCGTTGCTTATCAGGTGCCGATGAGAAGACATTTCGCAAATGGGTTTGGCTATGGGTCAATCTACTAGCCACTTACATGTGGTACTTGCGTACAACTTAACACAGCTAATTATCTAACAGATTGTGTGGGATCGACGGTTTGAACATAGTCGTCCCCATGATCGAGCATTCGTTTCGTTGGATGGTATTGACTTTCGTATTTGGGAACCAGTACCGCACGATCGCAAGTGGTATTCCCACATATTTCATGGAGCTGGGTTACACTATGAAGTCGGTGTGTGCATGCGAACAAGCAACATTGTCTGGGTGAATGGAGGTGTTCCATGCGGCGAATTTCCGGACTCATGGCTTGCATGTGATTCGTATGTCCATTGTGTACGCCAAGGTGAGATCACATATGCTGACAAGAGTTACCGTGACGCCAACTACTTATACTTCAATCACGCTGCAATGGCGAACCCTCAACAGCACGAAGGTATCATGTGTCGACACGAAAAGGTGAACAAACGGTTGAAGCAATTTAAGGTATTGGGTGGTGTGTTCAGGCATGCCATACACCTTCACCCCTGTTGTTTCCATGCCGTCGCAAATTTGACCCAAATTTCATTGGAAAATGGAGAGCCGCTATACAGCATTTAACGCAATGCACTCCTAGTACTACTAGTAATGTGTTTGATTTGGTTTGTTCAATAGTGTTCTGCTTGGCGCTGCAAAAAGACCTATGAGCCTTTTTAGAGGTCGGCTCATGGTCTTATGATCGGTAAGGCGGTTAGTGTCCATTATGTGCAGCAGGCCGCCATTCGTCGTGCGGTTGTACACCATTGTGTGCGGTTGAAAGATGTGCATTGTTGGCGCATTTTCATTGGACTAAATGATTAGACTTAAAATGGACCAGAAAGAGTAATTCGTAGTAAGAGACCTCAGTTTGCAATTTAATTCGGCCTCCGCAAGATGTTCCTGTCCGGACGACGGGAGCGAAAACAAAGAATTCTTTAGCCTCATCGCCCGAAGCAATGAGTGACTCTGACCACCAACGTTCACAGTCCCCTGTTAACGGGACGGAGCAATCCCGATCCCGAGAAGCTGAACGTGGTCGTCCTATGCGCCGTCAAACCACTACCCCGTTCGCCTCTCCACGCCGGCGTAATCCACCAGCTGTTGACCAGCGGTTTCAACCCGATGGCTACACCAACACCCCATTTACGGCACCCACAGCGACCCCTGAGGCCGCGCCATTTCATTCCCCCGCGCCAGCTGCGACACCAACTGGCGCCACCAACCTACCCCCTGTCACCGATGACGATGACACGGGACAAGGCGACGAGCGCGGCTTCGTGTACAACGCGCCAGCGCTCCCTTACCCGCCCTGTTCAACGGTTCGACCAAGTCAGAGCGGCGGACATTCATCCGCCAGTACAACAACTACCTGGACCAAGTCAACGCCCTCCAGCTCAATGGCTCAAGTGCGCGCCTGGCGAATCCGTGCGCCTGCTCAAGGAGAAAATGGACAAGTGGGAGAGCGCGCGCAACAAGAAGGTGACCAAGCTTCAAGGCAGCAAGTCCCTCGGCCGCGAAGCCAAGATCGAAGGCATCGTGTCCGTCACGACGACCCTCCTTGACACCGGCTCCGACGTTACCTTGGTGACAGCCGGTGTCATGCACCTGCCCTCAAGGTCGACCGCCAAGTGCAGTTCAAGTTGGTCACCCTGGACACCCCTTGTGGACCAAGTGGCCGCCTCAAGCGACGAGTGCGGTGATGACGGCATGCACTGTGCCACCCTCAACATCCAAGTCCCATCTGCTGAAGACGCAGAAGGTCAGCGGAACAGGCGGTGAGCGGTGGTCGAAGCGGTGATTAAGACAAGCTACGTGCCGCCGAAGACGAAGGCTTGACCGCGGACCTCCTCGAGAAGGTGCGACTCCTCCAGTGCTGGACGCCTTCGGTTGAGACAACTTTGCCGCAGCAGACGGCCTTGGTCAGGAAGAAGTTTCATTTCTTCGGTTTGAGCTTCAGGCCGAAGGAGGAGCGATCGTGAGGACTTGGTCGAGGAGCTCTTCGGGGCACGGAGCCAGCGGTGCAACAAACGTTGGCGAATGAGCAGCTCAAAGGTGGGGCGATCTGCAGTGAACAGACGATGCAGCTAGACCTCAAAGTCTTTCATGGGGACGATGCGCGGCGCCAAGGCCCATGTTGCGTGGTTGTTGCGGTACACCAGACCGGCTGCTTCGAGCTCGCGCACATGTGTCTTCAGGAACTTCACATGCGCTAGGGGGTATCGTCGCAGGCCACGCTTGACAGGGACGGCACCAGCCTTGTTACGCACCCGCAGCGACTCCACCTTGTTCGGCTCGTCATAGCCAAAGACATCACCGTGCTTTGCTCCCCCACAAGAATCCAAGGACTGTGTGCGCTCGCGCCGCCTGCCACGACTGCTGACCTCCAACAGTTTGTGTGCACCACCAATTGGGTTGGGGTCCAGTATCCCCTGCTACACCGAGCTTGTGGCGCCGCTCCGCCAACTCCTCGACGCAGCGACCAAGCAAATTGGAAGTGCGAAGAAAACGAAGCTCACCCGCGTCCAACTCACCGCCGTTGGCTGGGACGTTGGCCATCTGGCCTGCTTCAACAAGATCAAGGAAGCTCTCTTGGCGATGGTTCCCATGGCGCACCCACGGGAAGACGTGATGGTCTGCCTTTACAGCGACGCAAGTGAAGGCTTTTGACTACTCAAGTACCATTTGAAGACCTAGCCCTGACGTTGGAAGAGCAGCGCCACCAGCGCCTTTACTGGCGCAAGTGAGCGTTGGACAATTGTGGAGAAGGAAGCGTTTGCCGTTGTGGAAAGATGCAAGCGGCTGAACTGCATTCTCATCCGCCCAGCTGGCTTCTACCTTTATATCGACCACAAGAACCTGCAGTACATTTTCAATCCTGCCGCCAGTCCCCAATCATGGCATGTTACCATGCGCACACGTTGGAGCGGTGCAGCTGTCCTCGTTCCCTTACACCATCGAGTTCCTGCCCGGTGAAGACAATTTGTGGGGCGCTGCCCAAGCCCAAGGGCCAACCAAGTCTGTTCTGCGCCTCCTGGCCGTGGTGTCGCCCCTGCAACAGCCCTGCCGGCATTATCAAGACCCCACAAGTGGCCATGAAGAGGAGAGAGACCCCGCCACCCGGTGTGGCGTGGAATGGAGACAAGAATGTTTTTCTCGACAAGGACGACCATACCTGGATCCCACCAAGTGCAACGGACCTCCAGCAGTGGGTCTGCATCATAGCGCACCAAGACGCCGCAGGCCATCGACAAATCGAAGCCACGAACAAGGCAGTCCGCGATGTCTTCGCCTCGAGCACCCTCGAAGCCGATTTCAAGACGTTAGTCCAAGCCTGCGTCCACTGCCTCAGCGTCGACGGCTACGTGGTCTCGCGCCCGCTTGGAACGGTGCTCCATGCCGAGAAGCCCCAAGAGCTGATCCATTTCGACTGGCTATCCATGCCCACGGCGACGAACGGGTGGCAGAAGGTCCTCGTCATCAAGGACGATTCGTCCAACGTAACTGTAAAAAGGTGTAACGTTATTATGACCAAAGGTAGAAACTCTGCACACAAAGAATAGAAATACAGTAGGGAAGCACAGATAAAGAATGGGGAAACATATGAAACCGTAGCATGACAAAAATTATACTAACGTTATGTAAAAGGTAAATGTAACTACTATATAAGGTAATTATTCCTCAACTGGTCTCGCCCGCCTAGAGCGGCACCTTTCCCGACGAGAGGAATCGATTGCCAAGGCACCGCCTGCACAAATTTGTACACACGACCTCCGCTACGGTGCGGTGCGCGCAATTTTGTTGACGGATGCTCTGTCATCGCTCGCTACTGTAAGTAAGGCTAGGTCAATCAATTCACGTGTTTTGATACACATGTGTCTCTCCCCGCTTTCTTCCTGTGATTCCCTAATTCGTATGTGCACGAACATTTGACTCCAAGGGAGGGCTCCCCACCATGATGTCCTGGCGATGACATCGTAGGAAATATATCTTGGCATACTCTTGGGCGCGTAGATGGGCGGCCCCGACATTTCATTTGAACTACGGACTGATCCAAAGTGAATAATTCCCCACAGCAGGTTACCTTCAAAACACCCAAACTATACCATTAACGTTAGTAGGGGAATCACACATTGTCGATTTGATACAAATTTGGGGAGGGGGTGCAATCGAATCGCGCCAACCAAAATCGATCTGATTAGTTGAATTTCATTGAGAAGGTTTTGATTGGTTAATAATTTTCTGAAGTAGCCAATCAAATCGATTTAAATTCCAACGAGAAACCACGCCACAACACGAAATTTCACTCAAAAGCACAATATACAAAAAAAGAACTTGTAACCTGGGATTCGTCCTACCTCTGGTGAGCACGGATATTTCGAAGCCTAATATTATTCCCGGGGTTAAGCATATAACAGCGGTTCACTATTGCTACTGTAACCACTGAGATGCCTTAACTCCTAGCTGGCATGCGTTGCTGGTGCCCACGACGATCGCTACTGTAACCACTGAGATGCCTTACTGTTAACCCCTAGTTGCTGGTGCCCACGACTATACTTATTTGTGCAACAAATCCTCAGTGCAGGCATCCTGATTGGGTGTTGCAAAGTACCTCAGAATACCTACCTACCTGCTGTGGGGGAATTAGTCGTTCCAAAGCCACAGATGTGGCAATCGAAGTTCGAAGATGCTGTCGTTGGGTCGCGATTGGGTGACGTGTGCGATCGCGAGACGTTTGGTGGAACAAGTTCAGACTACGATGGCAGGAAGAACTAGCGAAGCGCAAAAGTTCCTCCGCGATTCCAGCCATACCTCCCCATCTTCCGTCGACTTGGAAGCTCCGCATCGACTAGCCTCGACTGCGTCCAACGGCAAGGCCACCCTCACCCCCATTGACGATCTTGCCAGTGTTCAGACCGACGAGACGTCACAACCAATAGCAGCAGAATCCAAATCAGCGCCGCATCCCAGCCAATGGCGCATCGTATGGAGCCTTGTCACAGGAAGCTACGTGAACGTCTTGCTTCTCCTCATGCCAGTCGCGGCATATTCGTACATCGACAAGTGGGGCGACATCCCCATCTTCGTCCTCAATTTTTTGGCCATGATGCCACTGGCGAACATTCTCGGCGAAGCGACTGAAACCCTTGCGGAACACTGCGGCGACACCATCGGCGGTCTCGTCAATGCTACGTTCGGCAACGCCGTGGAGGTGATCATTGCCGTGTTCGCGTTGAAGAAGGGCGAGATCGCGCTCGTCCAGAGCTCGCTGCTCGGGTCCATGCTGTCGAACCTGCTGCTCGTGCTAGGGTGCTGCTTCATCGCCGCCCACATCGGCGGGGTGTCTGAGACGTCATTTAGCGGCCGCAGCGCCGCCACCAACATGTCGCTGCTGTTCGTGACGAGCTTCGCCATGCTCGTGCCGACGTACTACCACTACTCCAACTTTGCCTCGTCTGCCGCCGTGCGCGAAGAAGAGGTGCTGGTCATGTCCCGCGTGTCAGCCATCTTTCTCATCGCCATGTACTTGCAACTGCTGGTGTTTCAGCTACATACCCATCGGCCCCGCCCAACGGTCGTGCCCGCGCTGGAAGCATCCGCCGCCGTCGCCGGCGAATCGCTCGACGAGCCCGATAGCCACGAGCCGCAGATGTCGTTGTGGATGAGTGTCGTGGTGCTGGCGGTGTCAACAGCCCTCGTCTCGATCTTTTCTGAGTTCCTCGTCGCGTCCGTGGACGGGTTCACCGAGTCGGCCAACATCAGTCGGTCATTCGTGGGGATCATCTTGCTGCCCATCGTTGGCAACGCCGTCGAGCACGTGACAGCCATCAAGGTTGCGCTAAAGAACAACATGGAGCTAGCCCTGGGCGTGGCCGTGGGCTCTGCGACACAGATCTCGCTGTTCGTGGTGCCATTTTGTGTGGTCGCGGGGTGGGTGATGGGGCAGCCCATGACGCTGGCGTTCCCGACCTTTGACGCCGTCACGTACGTGATCAGCATCGTGATTGTCTATGCCATCGTGTCCAACGGCACGTCCAACTGGCTCGAAGGCTCGATGCTGCTCACGCTCTACTGCCTCATTGGGGTCGCACTCATTGAAATGGAGCTGATCGACGATTAAGCAAGAGTTGTCAAATGTACAAAGTCACGATAGAGTTCTGTTTCCTCGCAACACAAGACACACATCCTGTAAAACCAAATGAGCGCTATGCCGATTGAAATACTTGTAATATTTAGCCTGGCACAGCGTCGTCGCCTTCGCTCGAAGAAGGCGATGCCAAATCTGCGACCAAGTCGGCATAGGCACTTCGAAGTCGTTTACTAGTGTGGTGGTCGTGGGCGGGGGACGCTGGTGGGGATGCCACGCGGACGGAACGCACATGGATTTGGGGGTGTTTGAACTCTTGAAATGAAATGGATGGTGGCGGCAGGACTTGTGCCGATGACTCATCAGACGGCAACCGATGGGCCTCCACATGTTGCAAGTGCAATAACAGTTCAGCAGCTCGAGGGTCTGAGTACGCCTACGCCAGTGTGCAAGTAAGTTTTAAGTGCATGGCAGAGGCAGTTGGTGCCATGATGTGGTCCATACTATATGTACACATAAACGGTAATGTGCAGGTGCGTACTTGGTGTTTGAGCGCCGATGACGCTTGGGTCCAGTTGGTAGCGTCGATGTAATTGCTCGACACGGCCACAGTGTGCTCTAGGTTTTGAACGAAATGGGGGGTGCCCGCCGGGACGAACAGGATGTCGCCTGCTTCCAGCACACACTCCCATACCCTAGCATGACTACATGCATGCCATCATCATCCCCCCAAGGACTCTAAACATGTATTCGAAAGGATGTCGTAATTACCGGAACAGTGGGTATAGTGAGTCGCCTTTGGACTCGTCTGTCGACGCCAAGTCGACGCCATACACCACGTCAGCCGACCCAGCATGCCAAGTCGGGTACAGCAGATGCATGTCGTTAGGGTGGACGAGCCGCCATCGCTTGCGGCCTTGCACGAGGGCCATCCAAAAGTTGGACCCGAACGAGTCCACATGGGTGGCGCTTTCCGACCCTCGTGGGCCGACAAACAGACTCGGCCACGTCTCTCTGTACATGGTGCCCCTACCACCAACCCGTTTCTCGTCAAGTCGAACAAGGGCGATGGTTCCCTCCTCTTACTCGGGGGTTTGCTGCAGATAATCCCGTGCAAAGTAGGCTGGAATGGTCACTTGGGGCGTTAACTCTACGAGCAGACACGTTAGTAGAGGCGCATGATGAGGCCATGTGCCTGGAAAATGCAGCGGAATGGACACGTCATGGATGTACAGCGGAGGCTCGGCGGACCAGTCATCCCGCTGCATGGCCTGGATAAAGCTGCCGACCGACTGCCGCGGGCCATCTTCGAGGCGCGCCCAGCGCACGGAATCCGCCACTTTCCGCTTTGTGTCCACCATGGTGTTGGCGACAACGGGGTTTGCTACCAACGACTCGAGCGACCAACTCTACGAGGAATGGCGTCGACGTGATGAGGAGGCAGATGGCTTCAGCTTCGTACTGCGTTCATCACTAGGGATGCGCCGCCTTTAATGAGCACTGGTTGGCCCGCACCTGCGTACTCTACTCTCACGTGAAAAGAGACGTCCATGCGATGTATGCAGCAACAACAACCAACAACGCACTCGTCATGAATGTGTCCACGGAGAGACTGGAGGGGTATTCCACAGGCACTGGCAACATAGTTCGACTCCATGGCTCTGTTGAAGTAGCGGCAACACTTGACGCGAGAAACGCTCGTTTCTGCGCGGCAGTCGAATTGAACTGGATGCGCGTGCGATGGGCTTTGTAAGCACCTAATGCGTACATGCTAGGAACAAACACAACATTACAGGGATGTAGACACTCAACCTTTGGACGGCGCCAATGCGATCGCTTCAGCCATGTGATGGAGAACACGAGGGTCCGTGCCATTCAAAAGCTCCAGAAAGAGGGCCAAGCTCGCATGGAGGATGTGGTTGTTGTGATCTCGTTGCAGCGCCTGCCTGAACAAAACATGTTGAAGGACACCGCGACAGCGAGAGGTTACCTCACGGACTCCACTTTGTGTTCAAGGAACGCACGAACAGGTGGTGTCGAGAGCATGCGGTTAATTGACGTCGAAGGGCAGCATGGAAGAGTTGAAGAAGTAGCATTAGCCTCGTCAATGCTGGCTGGAGCAACGGACTGCTGCTCCTTGCGGTACCACCGCGCCACTTCCGCCAAGGCATCAACAACCATGGCAGAATTATCCGGATGAAAATCCGCTCATTTTCGCCGACTTCAATGAGAAATTCGAAGCCTCAATTCGCATAATGACATTTCGAGTTCGGATCTATCGGTCGTACGATGAGCGAGCTTGGCCGCCTTGCGATGAAGATGATGGAGCGATGTGCGCTGGACGAGTCTGCATCTCCCACGACGAGCATGAAGGTACTCACATGTGCCACAGAACACAGGCTTCACAGGGAATTCAATTAGGATGAGTCGAATGTGAACAACGGCGGCAACATCGGATGTCCGTTCCTACTTCAATTGATTCAGCCCTTTGAAGAGATCATGCCACACAACACGAAGCGAGAGCTGAGTGCTGTGAATGCGTACTCGATCAAGCTGGACACGCTTCCGTTCAGCATCCTCGAGACCGACATGTTTCGCCGCGCGTTCCCCGACAAACCGATCTTCCATGCCATCCTGGAGCACCTTGACGGCATGCGAGCCCTTCTCACAAGCAATACAACCCGCATCGTCGTTCAGAATCTTTCCAGCGTGTCCATCCGAGTTGACGGCGTCGACCAGGAACCAAAGATACTGTCGTCCGTGGGCTCCGTCGCCGACATGACGCCCGGCAGCCTCCTCACGCTCTTTCAATTCCCACCCGAACACGTACGTCCATGCATCGCTCTTCAACTCATGCCTTCTTCTCGTGTTGCATAGCCATATTCCCATTTCCCTCCGCTGCAGTATCGACTCGTGCACGTAAACGCTGTCCTCGACCCACGAGACGCCTGGTACGTCCACACGATCTCCTGCCAGGACCGGCACTGGAGCTCCGCCGACGTCCCTGTGACGCCACCTCGCTACGTCTTGCGCATGCACCGTGGTATTTCCAAGCTGACACGAGACGAAGAAACCGCCATGCACGCGCACAATCTGCTCTCGATTCCGTGCGCCCAAGCAGCCACCGTGGTCGGTCGAGATGCGTGGTCCCATGCGTTTGGCGCGCGCTTCCACTCGTTCCCTATCCGGTTCATGCCGCGCTGCCAGCTGCTGCTTCGTCCCCCCCTGCTGCCCCCCCCCTCCTCCTCCTCCCCCCCCTTCGACCAAAGGAATCCTGGGGGCGTCGAGCTGGTCAACTGCGGCGATGTGCCCGTGCTCGTGTGCGATCGCTGGGTCGACGTGGGCCACACATGCCCCCTTCAGCATGGCGACAAAATTTCGTGGATGATTTCCAAGGTACGACCAATTGTGATCTTGCATACAATAGACACACGAAAAGAGGGGGGAGTGACATAAGCAGGATTGTCCTCATTTCCACTGACATCAATCACGCACCACTAGCCCTTGGTTGTAGTTTTCCACCATATTGTCTTAGTTTGCATTATTGGACGATTGCTGTAGGACTTTTACTCGCTGCCGCTCGCGTACATTGTCACAGATACGGAGAAAGCGCTCCCATTACACCCGCACAACTATACGCTTCTCGCCGACGTGATGGCGCTCGAGTTTGCCCCGCTGTTAGCGCAGCTCAGGGCGCTCGTGGGGGCCGCCGATATGCCCCCGACCATGCAGCGCCTGTTTGCGGCCAAGACGGTGGCGCGCGTCGAGCTGGACGACACCGCCACAGACGCCCCCGTCGCCCTCATGCCAACCGGAGACGGACGGGGGGACGTGTTTGAGTTGCAAGTGTTTTGGCGGCATCCAGTCGTGTTTGCCCTGCGGCGGGACGAGCTCCACCAACTGCCGAGTCCCTCCGACGTGATGGTGCAGCTGCTCGGCATCGCCGCGTCCAACGCCGGCTCCCGCACCATCCACGACCACGAAGCCGCCCTCAGCGCCTGCCACCGCCTCGCGAGGCACTTGGGCGTGTCCGACCTGCATCCAGTTCCAAGCAATTACTTTGTCCAACAAGCCTCCAACCAGAATCTGTCGGAATGCTACCCCCTTCCCCAACCCCCTCGTCACTGAGGTCGCTCGCTATATGTTGGTTGAATGTACAGTATATCAATATATGACTATGGATGTGTCACGTGAAGTTGAACGCGATGCGCCAGCCACTCGAGCAGGACCAAATGAGGCGAGTGGTCATCGGTCGTGCATTCTAACCATTCACTCGTCAAGCACTACAGCCGTATATATATATGCACATTGCACTTCGAACGGGTACTAGTAGTAGTACTAGTAGTAGTAGGAGGAGGAGGCTTCCCACCTTGGAGCAATTGGCGGGCGACGGGAACGGCCACGTCGACGCCGCACACGGCGATCATCGGTTGATCGACGAGGCGCTGGCGTGTCTGCAGCAGTTCAAACGACATCGTTCGTTCGAACACCTCTTTGGCGTGTTGTCGGGTGAGCGTCCGAGACTGCCACGTCACGCGTTCGTTCCAGAACGCGGCGTTGTCCTACACATGAAACACACGCATGATTCTTCATAACTTTGACCGACCTTTCGCAGCAAGTTGGTCCCGTACGAGTTGGAGCAGCATGGTCCAGTCTGTCCACGTCATGGTCTCCTTGTCATGCTTCTTGGCGCAGTAGTCGCGTTGCTTTTGGTGCTGCAGCACGAGGATGCCCTCTTCCACCGAGTTGTGCACTACGAACTTGTGGACAGTCGTGGGCTTGTCTTGTCCGATGCGGTGCACGCGGTTGATCGCCTGAGCTTCGACCCCCGGGGTCAGCAGCGGCTCGACCAAGATCACATGAGTCGCCTCCACGATATTGACCCCGTTGGCGCCGTACTTGAAGGGCATGGCCAGTACACACTCGGCGGGGTGGTGCTTGAACTGGTGCAATGTCGCGTCAAAGTCCTTCTTGTGCGCCACGACCAAGCAGCGCACGCCAGCCGACGTCAGCGCTTGGTGCAACAGCCTCAGCATATCGGGCCATTGAGAAAACAACAGACATTTGGCCCCTGCCTCGAGGGATAGGACGCGATTCACGATGCTGTCGACTTTGGTGCCGAGGCCAGTGCCGCCGAGGTGGCGTGCGTCGTAAGGACCTACACAAAAGCAAAACACAGCTCATTAGTATCACAATACAAAATGGAATCGGGTGGGGGCTATACGTTGTGGATGGATATCGTTGACGAGCAGGATGTGGCGCTCGGTGGTCGGTGTGCGACAAGTTGGACATCGAAGTGCCGACGGCTGCTTGATCAGGTGCGCCGTGCACGACAAGCAAAACACATGTGCGCATGGCCACATGCGGCGCTGGGCGGGCATGCGGTCGTGGCACACGGCGCACTCGTCGACGACGAGATGCTGCTGCTTGGTGCGATGCAAGTGCAGCAAGTACCGCAGCGGACTCAGCTTGGACGCCAAGTTGGCACTCGACTCGGCCCGTTCTTGCTCGAGCTCCATCCGCTTCACGGGCACTTCAACTGCCACCAGTTTGTACGTTTTCTCCACCTAAGATGATGCATGGATCATCGATTTTCCGTCAACTCGTAATTACGTCATTGTTTACGTACGTCGCGAACGGGGTCGTCCGGCTCACGCAACTGCATGGTCGTCTTGGCCATTTCCAGCTCGTCCAGCGCCCCCAAACGAGCGTGCTGCGCTTTCCACAGCTTCACCCCGAGCACCCGTTCCTTTCGCACATCGCCCAGAACAGTCTGAAGCTGCTGGTGCATGTCTGGAATGCCATGGGTCGCATTCTTTGCGACTTCACCGACAATGTCCAGCAGCAGCGACCCCAGGTTGTAATTCGTAGCCGACGACGGCGTCGTGTCCGACGTGATGCCTAGCATGGCCCCAAGGGTGTCCATGTCAGGCTGTACGAGGCAATGCTGGCATTTCGGGCCATCTCGTCCTTCTCTGCAAAACGCGCAATTGCCTGTCGAGTATATTATATATATATATTATATATATATAAATATATATATATATATATAAATAAATAAATATACATATATATTATATATATATATATACATGAGTGTTAGAGTGGTGACCGTACCAGAAGCGTAGACATCGTGTTTTGTAGGAGCATGCCGACTCAAGGCCATGAGTTGCGTGTGATTTTCAGCCCGAAGGCCGAACAACCGGTCCAACTCGTGGAGCAGCACCACACGAAGCGACACAACGGAGCGAATCCTCTGGCTCAGGTTCATTCCAAGGTCGGACCGACTCATGAGCTTGGCTCGTACGCGATCAACCAGTGCGTCGGGGTCGTCCACCGCAAGCAAACACTCCATCCATGCCGCGTGAAACGAGTCGGGAAGATGGGGCGACTCGGGGGCGTCCACTATGCATGTATGACAAACGTCAAAGTGAACTTGTTCACCTTGGGTACTTATTACTATACAACCTTGTGGAAAGTGCTCGGCTTGCAACGACCGGTACGCTGTCTCATATTTGTGCAAGGCCGTGTCGTGGGTTAAATTGCACTGTGACAAGTAGAATGCTTCGATTTGAGTCGCGCTGTGGTGTAAATCAAGTCGAGCTTGCCGCAACAGCTCGAACGAATCGGTCGGACGATCATTCTTTGAAAAGTGTTCGAATAGACACTTCACAGCAGTGAGCAGGGGCAGGCAATGGTTTGTCTTCGCATCTTCAAACGGCACTTGTGAAAGCATAATTGGTGGACGTGGCGCACCGAAACGCTCCAAGAGGCGACCAAAGTTGTGCACGAGATGCAGACGAGGGAGTAAATCGGCGCGGAACTCGGCCCAGTTGTGCTGGATCAGACTCAGCGCTTCAAAGTACAGCCCCACGGCGGTCTCCACCGCGCCTTCCACGACATTGAGCGCTGCCAATCCATTGAGCGCGGCTAAGAGCACCCGCTGGGCTTCTTCGCATTCTCGTTGCGCCTGTAGCCACAACAAGAATCAGCGTATATCAATCGTTGATGACCCAGAGCTTGTTTGACTTCGTATATTGTCAAATCGATTCGAAACAGCAGAATCGAATATGATGGATTAAACAACTGCCTGAGCCAATCAAATCGCGTCCTGTCGAATTTCTACCAATCCAATCGTTTCACCCCTCCGCATGGGGCAAAACCACATATATAATACTGCATGTACTCGTTGTTAAGTATATTTAGTGTGTTAAAAAGATTAAATAGGATCAAATAGAATCAAAAGCTATTTGGCGAAATGAAGTCCAAATTTGGGCGAAATGCACAATACCTTTAGCATCATTTCAGTGAGCACGTCGTCCATGCTCATGGGTCGGTTCTCGTCCAGAGCCCTGAGGCCATGGCTACCAACCTACAAGCAACACATGAACATGTGAAAAAGCAATCATATTCCGGATACTGTAGGCCAAACCTGCGGATGACAGCACGCTTGGCGGAGTCGCAGCAAACTGTTGAACATGGCGACGGTAATCTCGTTCGAGTCGGTTGGTTTGCGGTGCCTGGAGACACAAAGCAAGTTGAAGATGATCCAACTACAACGGCATTTCGTCGCCATACATACTTCGTGCATTCGTCCATTTGCTGGTTGTAAAAATGAGTTTCAATCTCGGACAAGCGCAGCCACGACGTTTCGACGGTTTGCGGAGGCAAGTTGATCTGCTCGACCACGTCCTTCTTTTCGTTGCGCCACATCAGCCCTTGGACGACTTCTCCCAGCCGCGGGCTCTACGAAGTCAAAGTCACATTGCCCTTTGTATATCATTGCGTACGGAGGATGCAAACCGCCCCATCACAGCGCGCCACCACGCCTTGTCTTGAAAGCATGGCGGCTGCACCTGCAGAAACGCGAGGGTGCCGTACACTTCCCAGAGGTCGGTCGAGAACGGCGTGCCACTCACACACCACCGCAGCGTGCTCTTCAATGCCAGCGCCATCAGCGACGCCTTGGCCTACGCAATCGACCAAGTTGAACATATCAGTTTGAGCATTATATCATTTTGAACATATCATTTTGAACATTATATCATTTTGAACATTATATCATTTTGAACATTATATCAGTTTGAACCTTATATCAGTTTGAACATATCATTTTATCGTACCTGGGTGTTTTCGACCAACTGGGCTTCGTCCATGCAAATACGCCACCACGTCACATGTGTCAACGGACTCGCCACGATGCGATACCGTTTGCGCCGGCGTAAACAACTCGACGACGCGTCCGACACGTGATGCAAATCGTCCCGCAATGCTTCGTACCTACCTCAAAATACAGTGTGGTTACCGTCACTATTCTAATTGACGGGTAATATACAGTACGTGGTCAAGACAACGTCAAACTTGGCGAGTTCTGGCGCTCGGCAGTACTTCCACTGGGCACTTGGTCTGCCTTTGAGGCGCTGACGCAGCGCTTTGATGCCTCCGTACGTCTAAAACACATGTCACTACCAGCTACGATATATGTCCATAAAGAAATGTCGAGCGCACCATGATGCTCAACGAGTCGGGCCGCGTGTGGCGCAGAATTTCCCGTTCCCACTGCTTGTGGATGGATTCTGGCGAGATAATCAGCGTCGACGGGATCGCCCAGTCCGGATCCACGTGACGGAGGCAGCCTTCGCAGTAGAACGGCTGGTCCAAGGACAACTGGAAGCCCGTGCACAGGCGATGCTGCCATACGCGGCACCGCGTGCATTCGATCCATCCGTGGACGTCGTCGTCGGGGCAGTTACACACGCAGCTCCGTTCGACTAAATTGGCCGCCGCACGACGAGGAAGACGACTCGGTTCGACTGCATGGACATGGTCCATGGCAGGACTCGGATGTGATAAGATGCACGCCAGCACTTGCACCGTCTTGCCGAGCCCCATCTCGTCGGCTAGGATGCCCCCGCGGACCCCGCTCCAAGGCGGCGCGGAGCCATGGATTGCCGCGGTGGAAAAGTGGCAGGTAAATGGATTGTACGTGACGCCACTCTTGGCACGCACGGCTTCGACTATGGAGAACGGAGGAGGCGGTCCCGATGGTACCTAATGAGAGGAACGAATCAGGGGGACCAGTGGCGTGAAGATGGCGACTGTACATGAGGAGGCCGTTCACGCTCGAGCATCCACGCAATGGCCGCTTTCTGGTAGCGTCGTAAGGTTGGCAGCAAGTTGGGACTGGGTGTGAACGCATCTCCTGCCGCAGAGGAAGGGATTGGTGGAACGACCTGGTAGAGCGCTGAGGATAGGAACGGCGTCGAGTCAGTTGGTGCGTCGACCAGTTCAGACATGTACGGGTAACTCCATTCGTCCCTCGAATGCTTGATGAACCACCGCATGAAGATCGCCATGTGCTTGCAAATGGGCGTCGACGGGTTCACCTTGTCGCTCCCACTCATGGCCGAGTACGTTGGAATGTGGATGCCCACACAGACATGCGCGCTTCGGATCTCCATCGACAGGCATTTCTTCTCGTTCAGAAATGCCATGGCATGCAACTCGTTTGGACGAAAAGCGCCCCATGACGACGGGATCTGCATGGGCTGATCGCCTACGGAGACGGCGATGTCGGTGTACGCTTCACCTTCCTGCGTTGTGCCGGCGAACGAAACCACGGCAGCACGTATGTCATTCCCTTGCGCACTGGAACTGTTGGTGCATCCGTCGGTGGTTGCGATCGCGAGTTGGAGCTGACACCAATCTGAAGTGTCGGTCATGTCCAACGGTTGAATGATGTATGGATTTGGCAAAGCTTTCGCTGCATTTGCATACGGGCGTCGTCGACCCCACATCTTCCTGGCTTTCTTTACAGGCGGCTGGGTTTCGCGTGACGAATCGGCGCCCACAGCTTGTTCTGGCGCATGCCGCTTCGGTGTTGCTTGCTTCGTCCGAGCCATATTATTGAAAGTGAACATCTCCGAATTCACACGATAATTTGACGGACGGATAAATTGAGCAGTCACTCATCAATTATTGACAAGTCGATTACTTATTTAAGAAGAGTATATTAATAGATGAACGAATAGTGTAAACAAGTGTTGGTTTAATATTGTTTACCAGAATAGAATTGCAATCTTTGATTGCACGAAGGTGACTTCAGCATCATGGTTGGGGTGTCAGCTGTCGTAGGGTCTACGGTCCTGTTACTTCACATGCTGGGATTGATCCAAGCATCAGAAGGTCAAAAGGAGATATTTGCACTGGATGGCAAGGGCCAACCAGTCGCATGGTGGGTGGTCCTCAAACTGCCTTGGCAGGTGCGCGACGCGCAGGGCAAGTACATTCCCACACCTTGCGACTGCGACAAGCCACAATGCGCCAACGTCAAGGTGGACGTCCCTGAAGAGCGAAAGTTCGGTCTGTGCTACTTGTATGCTGATGCCAACAACCCAAGGTTGCGCCACTTTCGCGATGTTGGATACGATTGTCTGGGCCAAGGCGGCAACGACCCCGTAAGCCACACGTTGCGTCAAGCAAAGAATGCCACGTACTGGGCTATCTTCAACGATCAGTTCAACGGCATTGCCGAGAAGCAGGATAAGCGACGCGTGTGTTCCGGTGGGGACGCGTTCAACGCACACGCCAAGGGGGCGGTGGCCTTCGAGCTCGACTCGGGCGGGTACGTCCTGCAGTCGTCCACGCCCAACTTTCCCGACCCGACCATCCCCACGGGGGATTCCGACGACGACTTCATCCGACTGGGGTGTCAGCATGACAACAACGTCGAGTACGCTCAGCACTTGTTTGCCATGTCCGTCGACGGGGAGGCCATCAAAGCCGTGGGTCGCGGCTGGCAGTCGGCGCGGCTCTGCTCCACTAACCACTACCACGACATGAGCCAGGTGCTGGCCAGCGCCGCACTGCGCCACAACGAGCTGGAGCACCCCATGGCCGCGGCGCTGGTCGACCCTGACGCCGACGACGCTCCGTCCACCAACGTCACCGTGGTCACAAAGGTTGGATCTGTGCGAATTCGTGGGCTGTTCAAAGACAAAGCATCGGCAGTGCCGCCGTGGGCGATGGCCGCGGAAGCGTTCGGAACGGACTTGAGTGTGGCGTCGTGGTGGGACGAGAATTTCGGCATTCCCAGTCTGTGCGACGGCGATGTCTATGGAGCAGTCGCCGAAGCGTTTTGCTTGAAGAACAACCCCCTGACGCTGCGACCGGACGGCACATTTCCGTACAACGTCGAGAACCTCATGCAAGCGACGTACGTCGGTCGTACATGTCTGGCATACCCGGGTTTTACAACGAAGTCTCGTGCTTATGACAATAGGACTCCGTGGCGACTATCCTGCGACGATGCGGCGGCTGTGACGTGGTCGTTACGCGGAGGCCGCGTGCGCGATGGCAACCACGGTACATCATGCTTGATGTCGTGATAGCGACCTTTATGCGTGTTGTGATGTCGCGGCATCGTAGCGAAATGGGCAGTTGGCACTCCCCGAGGTGGTAGCACGAGTCCAACGTCGCAGGCGGCGTTGTCCATCTTCGCCGACTTGAACATGGAAGGGTATCCATGCTCCAAGAAGTGCAACGGGTCTCAAGGGGGTCGAGGTGGATCCTTCTACGGCATCGAAGACACTGTCCTCCATGCAAGTTTGGTGGGCCTGGTCTCGGACGTGTGCAAGTGTCGACCGTCCACGTCCCACGACGATCCATTTGTGACGTTCCGCATGTGTGATCATGGATGCAAGAACAAGATACACGAGGACTTCTCCAAGGACGACCTGCCCGCGCTGTCGAATGCTTCATCATCGTTCTGGGGCACGACCGACCGCCGCCGACCTATTGTGGATGATTCTGCTGTTGCCAACTCATGATGCGGAAGTTCCACGGAAGGATTTGAACGTAGATTATCCGGAATACCGGATGAGGGTTAAAGGAATGAATGTTGACAGTTTTGCGTTTTGTGCGATGGACACGATCGTCGATCAAGTGCGCAAGGAGCTGTCGCACGAGTATGGACACATGCTGGTTCAGTGGTACGAAGCTGTGGACTGGCAGGAACCTTTGATCCTCGGTCTCATATCCTTCCACGTCCTGCTACTCACGGCAGTGCTGGCCTTCCGCCACGTGTACCCTGTTCAAGTGGGGCTGTTTGTCTTGATTTGTGGCACCATTTACACGAGCGAGTACCTGAATTCCGTCGGCCGCGACAACTGGCAAGCGTTTGCATCGCAAAACTACTTTGACACCCACGGCGTGTTTATGGGCATCTTCGTCGCCGGACCACTCCTCGCCATCGGGTTTGTGCAACTGGCCAGCAACATCCATGCCATGGCACATTTGGTGGTCGCTGTCAAGCGCCACGAACTGAACAAGACCAGTAAGGCCAAAAAGAGCAATTGAGAACATTCACAACCGCCTTCATTCCACCACATTCCCATTATTGCACTTTGCTTTTTGTTGTCTTATAAACAATGTTAATGCAAGTCGCGCACGGGGAACTCCTTTTCCCACAACACGTGCGTAAAGTCGTACAGACTCTTGGTCACCGACACTTTGTAAGGCGTGGCGTTCAACGGTCGCATAATGTCTTCGCGCATGGTGGCCACTTGGTCCTTGACGTAGCTGCGGATGTCTTCCAACGACGGCAGGTCGCCGACGATGCCGCCATTCTCGCCGTCCCACACCAAGCTGTGCAGGGGCACGACGGCCGACGGCGTCACGTTCACACGCACCATCTCGTCAAACGGATGGCGGCACAGCATCTTGACACCGGGCACCGGGTCGGCTTCTTCGCACCCCATGAGGAGGTCCAAGATGGGCGAGCCGTTGGCGCCTTTCAATCGGAACGCCTTCTTCCGGCCCGGAATCGTCACCTTGCTCGGCTCTTGCGACAACTTGATGCGCGGCTGGCCTGCGATTTGCACCAGTTTATACACCATGCCCAACGCAGGCTGCGCTTGGCACGTGACCAAGTGCGTGCCAATGCCGTAGCTGTCGATTTCGTGGCCCTGTGAAAAATCAATCCCTTCACGTCAGCCGTCATCGTCGAGATCGTTCACAAGCAGCAAATGATGGTTGGCACCTGTTCGTTCAGAGAGTTGAGCACGGCTTCGTTAATGTCGTTGCTGGCCACAATCGTAAGCGTCTTGAACGCGTCCAGCTTGAACGCTTCGGCCGTCGTGACAAACATGCGCCGAGCTTCCTTGGACAAGTACGCCAAGTCGCCGCTGTCCAAGCGGATACCCACAGGCTACGAATCAACCAAGGAAACCCAAAAGTCAGTTGAACATCCACAAAAGCTCAAGTACGACGAAACGACCTACCTTGTAGCCGAGTTCGTTGAGCGCCAACGCCACGCACAAAAAGTTAGGCACCCCAGACTAATGAGGGTACAAATTAGAACCTAGTGACAAAAGGGGGTAGCTTGGGGTACCGCCAACGTGTCGTACGTGTCGACGAGGGCCAAAAATGTATGGGGAAACGCCACGGCGTACGAAATGAAGCCGGCCAATTCGCCCTAAATAAAGCGATGTTTTTGTCAAAATTTTCACCATTTTCATCAACAAACGTACGTCGTTTGTGTCCAAAAAGCCCAATTTCGCGCGATACGCCAACGTCAATTCCTTCAAGTTGTCCTTGCCAATAAACGGCACTTTGACATCGTCCAAGTCGCGATGCGCTTGGACAAACGCGTGGGCGTGGGTGCCCTTGATGGGAATGCCAAACAGTTTGCCCGCCAACACATTGCTCGTGCCGTGGAAACCCGCCATGTACGAATATCGGGACGCAGAAATGCCGCCGTCGGGACCTTGAGCGCGACGCAAACCAAATTCAAGCAATGTCTTGCCCTTTCCGGCCGCCTTGATGAAGCGGGTGGCGTTGGTCGCCATCAAACTGGCGTAGTTCAGCAAGTTGAGCAATCCGGTTTCGAGGAGTTGCGTGATGCCCAAATGACCTTCCACACGCAACACAGGAATGCGAGGGAAGGCAATCGTGCCTTCTTGGAGCGAATGCACCTACGAACGCGTTATCCTCTGGTCGAATTTCACTTCTGGGACAATCAATACCTTGACTTGGGTGCAGTCGAGCGTGCGCAACCACTCAAAAAATCCAGCTTCGGTCGTGGCAGGCAACACGCTTTGCAAGTATGCAATGTCGCTGTCGGAGAATCTGAACGAGTTCAAGTATCCAAGGACCTATCATGGTACCAAAGTTACAGTTATGATTATTTACGGGTCGTATGTACCTCTTCCAAACCCGCAAAGACGGTGAATTCACCCTTGAATGGGTTCTTGCGGAAAAACAAGTCGAAGACTGCCTGTTCTTCGTGGCGACCAACCTTCCAGTACGCGTAGGCCCTGAACAGTACGTATACGTCAGCTGCTCACCCTCCAAATAGTAAGTAGCACGTACATGGTGATCTGGTACAGATCTGTGAGCAGAGGCGACACGAGGGAGTTCGTAGGGCGCGCATCCGAGTTGTTGCTGGTCTTGTGGTTTGCCATGACGTCGGGAGATAACGTGTGTCGACGACGGCAGAATTGCGAATGGCAGCGTCCGCGGACGTCAATACGATCGAATGTCACATTTGGCGTACGAACGATATCGTACATTACTCGTGACGTACATTGCCCAATCACTCTCAACTTTGATTGATATATGTCTGTCAACAATGTACATAGTACATCCCGTACATAGTACATTACACAGGTACAAAGTACGTTTTCTTCCTTGTCGAAGTCCATTTTCTCCCCCTCTCAACTTCCAACATGTCATTTATGTGTTACCATGTATGTACTGTACTAGTCCACATCTAAAGCCAAAGCTAACAACATCATGGCAGCCCTCGCTACTCTCCAAGGAACAGCGCTACACCACCGATAATCCATCTTGACGGGTCGCCGGCCACAGGCAACGAGATCTCCACCAACATGCGCTCTCGCGACGTCGAGTAGTACAACGGGACCTTAATGTACGTGTCTTTCGCGTACGGCTCTCGCTCTTCGTCTCGTGTATACGCAACGTAGCACGTCGGCACAGAGATGAGTTCTTGTCCGTCGGACGTTGGTTCTTGCAATGTACCACCTTCGAAGGACGCGCCTTGCAGCAACATGCCTCCAATAGCGAACCACTCGATGGACCCTGACGTCGTCTTGTCCTTCTCCCAGCATGACATGAGCTTCATCCCATCCATCGAACACTTGAGTGCTCGAGCGGCTTGCTGGCGCAGTGCGTTGAGGAACGTTCCTGGCTGCAGCACGTCCGAGAGGTCGAGAGGTCGACTGAGTAGCGTGCCCTTGGCACAGTCCTCCTTCCACTCATTCAATGCTCGCTTTCGCAGCGCGAGCGACCGCAACCACACTTGCACCACTTCGCTGGCCTCCCATCGATTGCTCCAATCTGACGGCACTTGGCCCACGAGCAGCGCCGCCGCAATTGTCTGGATCGCGGGGGTAAGCAGGCCCGTGCCATAGATAACTTTTTTCAAACTTTGCAGACTTTGGTTCACAGACGATGCCAAGTCCGTCGCCGCGGCATTCTCCATCGCGACAAACGCTTCCACGGGGGTCACCACCTTGTCTTTGGGGATGCCACTAGCCGTTGTGTTGTGGTCCAAGTTGAAGCTTGACGTGAGTTTGCCCCAGTTTTCAATCAGCGGCCCAAGCAGCCCCCGCCACTTTTCGCGATCAAACTTGCTGCTCGCTTGTTCGCTGCTCGTGAGCGTGCGCAGCTGGGCGATCACCGCCGACGACGCAGTGCGCTGGACGGACCGCTCGATGTTGTCGGGGAGTCCAAACATGCGCGGGGGATCGTGGTCCGGGAGGTGGTCAATGAGCGCGGCAAAGTCGGCTCGCTGGTCGGACGCTGGCATCTTCACACCCTTGCACAGCGACGTTTTGCCACTGAGGACGTCGTTTCCAAAGTACATTTGAAGGTAGCACCGGAGGACGCGCAGGTCGTATGGGTTGTCGATGCGGCCGCCGTAGATGGCGTTCTCCATGAGCCCGTGGATGGTGTCCCAGTCCATGTCCTTGGCCTGACTCAGGCTCTCCATGACATTCAACCCCGCCCGTAAATCGCCAAAGCTAAACTCGTAAAACTTGGTCCACCCCTGCGGCATGTAAGTCCGGCGTTCTTGGAGCAACGAGTGGAAGAACGCGAGCAGAAACAGCAACTGCATGCGCTGGGGGGACGCCGGGCCATCGATTTGAAACGTCGCGTACGTTCGCTGGAGGTTCTTCTTGAGGCCAGGCGGCGACTCGAACGTGACCTTGAGGCTCTGTTCGAGCAGAATAAGAGGAAACGCATCGTGGCTCTCTGTGGTGCACCACAGCCGGAACTTGCGGTGGGGGGTGAGTCCGTTCAGCTCCTTCTCGAGCACCACCAGCCACGCCACGACCAAGTGCAAGTTCTGCAGACACAGCCACTCGCCATTGTCCGCCGTGGACCGGAGTAGCGCGAGAGCTTTCTCTTGCTGCCCCCCGCCCATGGCCACTCCAAAGTAGTGGTCGCGGCCGACGATCTCCGTCGCGACTTCCTCGAGTTCCTTGGATGGGTCTGCACCTGCGGTCGTGATGAGCAGGACCGGCGTGACGCTGGATGCTTCCGTCATGCACAAGTCCTTGAGGTCGAGCGACGGCGGCGTGAGGGTCTTGACTTTGAGCAGTGTGCAGATGAAGTTGTGGATGGCGGTTTGCAGGCGGTCGGGACGCAGCGCCTGTACGAGCACGACCCGCTGGAACGCACTGAGAGCCTTGTCCACCTTGGGGTGGAATGCCACTTCGCAGTCGATGGCTTTGGACCATCGGAGCCACACGTCGGACGAGTCAAACTTGACCTGCGCTGCCAGTTTAGGAAACGTGTCGACAAACAGGTTGTAGCTGTCGCGGCGATCGGGGGGCACCCAGTCGGGTAGAGCCGTCTCCTTCTTGATATCTGACAGCAAGTCCCCGACAAAGTACTCCCATTCGTTGTCTTCAAACGCTTCGGGGTGCATGCCATGGATCAAATGGAGCCCAAACATCGGTCGGTGTTCTTTGAACAGCGACCGACCCACAAACATGAGTACTTTGGTCTCAAGCATTGGTGACAGCCGCGTGATGCGCTCCTTGACGTTGCCCACGTCCATTTTCGTGGTTAGCGTCGACCGAAACAACCCGATGAAGCTAGCCAGGGAGAACCGATACATGTGGTTCACACTATGCAGCGCCTTGACGAGGAAGAACAGTCGCGCACCGTCCCTAGCAAACGGCGCGTAGATCGCCCGTTGTTCGTCCAGCTCTTCGCTTTTGACGGCGGACTTTTTCAACGCGCTTTCAATGTCGGCGCTTGTCGACTTCGTGCGCGTCAAGCTCTCGATCAGCGTCGTGTTGTCGAGAATGTCCCCTTCGGACGTGGCCAGCGCCTCGAGCAGCTGTTTCTCGAGAGCCGCCAACTGCACTTTGAACTCTTCTTCGCTTCGAAGGAGCTCGCTTTTCTGGGCTTCGAGCTCCGGCTGTTCGTTTTGAATCGTCACACCGAGCAGCTGCCCTTCCAAGCCTGACTTAGTAACAGTGAAGTTGACCACGTTCACAATCGCTTGGGCGTCGGGGGGGAGCTCCGGGTCCGGGTTGCGCGTCACCAGCACCATGCGGAAGTTGTCGTTGTAGTCAATGTCCTTGTCCCCCAAATGCACGACAAACCGGGGGCCTTGATGGGTCAAGTCCCGACGGATCAGCGGGTACAAGTACGGCTCGACATAATCCACCTCCAGCACCACCAGCGTCTTGCCAAAGCGCACCGCTTGCTCGACAAGCGATACGAAGCGCGGCTCTTGCGACTGCACGACGGACAGCGGCCGCGTCGTGTCTTTGGCTAAGTGGGCTTGCAGCCACCCCGTGGCGGCGTTGGCAGGATCGATGATGAACGGCGTCCGCTCCTTGGTGTAATGCACCACGAGTCCATTTTCCATGCTCAAGTTGTCCGCAGGAAGCCCCATGCTTTTCCACGTGAGCAATTCAGACTCGGAGCTCATGAGTTTGCGGTACTCAAACGACGTGGACGACTCCATGGCCGCATCCCAACTCTTGGACACCGCCAGCCGTTTCGTTTCCGAGCACTGGCCCAAGAAGATAGTGAAGCCGGACGCCATGAGCAGCTTCATGGGAAGTTCGACGACGCGATTCTCGAGCTCTTTGACTTGCGCCGACCATCGCGTTTGCTCTCCCCCCAACTTGCCCAGCAGCCCCTGCGCCTTTTGCAGCGTCGACTCTGCTCGTTCCAGACCCACGCGCAAAATTTCCGCTTCTTTCGTCTTTTCCCCAAACAGGTGCTTCATCTCGTCCACTTTGACGTCGATGGCTTTGAGTTCGCCTTCACACGACAGCAGCCGCGCCTGTGATGCTTCCAACGACCGCTTGGCCTCTGCCAGGTCCGCTTCAAGGGGCTCGATCTTGGCGATCACGACGCTGTACTTCATGTTGGCCTTGACCCACGTGGCCAGCGGGGCCGCGGCCACACTGACGCGGTAGATGTTTTCGTGCTCGAAGGAAGATGATTTGGCCTTGAGCAGCTTGGTCACAGCCTTGGAGATGTCGGGCGTGATGCGTCGGGTGTCATAGTTTTGGATGTCTTCCTTGACGCCGCGGTTGCCGAGGAACTTCTTCATCGAGTTCCACGACGTATCTTGGATCCCCAGCAGCATGAGCACCGCCGAGAGCACGTCGTGGATGGGCTCGGGGGGCATTTTCAGGGACCGGATTTCGTTGATGTTGTCGCTCTTGATGTTGCCCACAGCCTGCTTGGCCGACTCGAGCACCGGCGTGATCTCGCTCAGCTCGTCTTCGATCTCGCGCTTACGGCCGTTCGTCGCCTCCTCCGCCTTGGCCAGTTGCTTCTTCAAATCTTCCACTTCGCGACGGTTGCCCGACGCGCGATCCAACGCATGTTTGATCTCGTCCATCGCTTCGTCGGCGCTCACTTGCGCGGCACTCAGCTCCTTCTTCTTGATACCCGCGGACCGGCTGAGTTCGTCCACGGTGGTGCTGGCTTCCACGAGCTTGGAGAGCCCGCTCTTCAAGTGCTTGACTTCGGTCACGAGCTGCTTGGACTTCTCCGTGTACAAGTCTTGCCACGTTTGGAGGAAGCTAATGTATTCGCGCGGGGTGGCGCCATCGCTTTGGACCGATTCGTAGATCAAATGCACCATGTTGAGCAGGAACACTTTTTGCACTTCGTCTTGCAGGAGCTCAGACGATGTGAGGAGCATCTCCGGAATCTTCTTGAGACTCGACGCACTCCACTCGCCCATCCACACGATCGTGCACCGCGTGTACAGCGCCGGGTTGCTTTCGCACCGTCTCACAAACTGCCCATGGCGAGAGTCCATCCCCAATACAATATGCAGAAACGTCTGCACCCTTGCGACAAAGAACTCGTACACGGTGCGGTACGCAATCGTTGACTCCATCATTTTCTCCTTGAGGGGGCCCAAGAGGGGCTCGAGCTCTTCGTGGGTGTACAAGCCGGGCACTTCCCCCGCGCTGAGCAACGAGTTGGTCAGTTCGAGAATCGCGTCCTCGACAAAGTGGTGGTCCTCCAAGTACAGCACAGTGTGTTGGCCTTCGACGCCCGCGCTCACGAGCACCGTTTTGAGGTCGGCTTTGAACCCGGAGGCGGTGTAATTGCGCGTCAAGTTGGGCGTGAACAGCTTGTATCCCAACATGTGGGCGATCAGCGTTGTGGCGGTGCGGCGGCCGACTCCGGACTGACCGATCAGGAGCATGGACCCGCCGGCTTCCGATAGAATGCGGTCTACCATCGCCACGTGGTCCAGAATTTCGTCAAACAGCAGCATATGGAGCTCCTTTTCTTCGCGCTCGTACAAGACGATGCCTTGCGCCATCACTTGAGAAAAGTCCTCAGTCGCCATGCGCCGCAGCGGCACGAGGGCCAACTCGTCGTCCGGTCGCTTTTGCCCAAGGGAGGTAAAGTACGCGTCTTGAAGCTTGGCGTGGTGCCGCCAGTGGGTTTTAAGAATCGTGTTGAGCGCGGCGTCGAACTTGGACTTAGAGTCGGCGTCCACCAGCCGATCCCGAAACAACCGTCGGGCTTCGTACGCCAGCACGTCCAGCACTTCTTCACCCGCCAAGTCGTACCGCAGCAGCCCAAACGTCCACCTTGTCAAATCTCGCGGTGTAAACAAGTAATGGCGGTGGTCATCGACGCTGAACTTGGCTCGGATGCTTTCGTACAGTTCGACCATGGACCGCGCCAGTTTATCGCGGTTGGTGGCGTCTTGCAGCGCACTCACGGCCTCGAGGAAGGTCGAGTAGACGGCCGTGAGCTCGTCCCCCGTCGGGTAGTCCATGTACGCGACCCGGACGATGGCGGTGAAGCGGGTGGACAGCACGTGTCGGCCGACGGTGGTGGCGGCGTTCATGCTCGCCACGATTTGAATCCGCTCGATGCCGAGAAATTCCAAGTTGGGATCGTAGAACCCCTCGAACGTGATCAATTGCTGCAGAAACGCAATCAGCATGCACGTGTCGTACTGATCTGGCTTGGGCAAATTGATGTCTTTCAGGTACAGCACCAGCCGGTCGCCTTCGCGGGGCCGGTACACGCGTCCCTTGTTGGTCGAAAACAACGAGCAACTCTGCGCGATCTTAGCGATCACGTGGTCCGCCGTGGTCTGGGCGTTGCAATGCAGCACACAGAAGCTGGTGCCCTTGGTGGCCAGGAACGCCTGGCGGATCAGCATGTTCTTGCCTGCGCCTTGGGGTCCCACGAGGATGAACGGCGTCATCTTGTCCACCCACGGCGCCACCGTGTGCAGCCCTCGCTGCATACTCACGGTTTGAATCACCGACGTGGATGAGATGACGGCGCTGCTGTCGTCGTACGTCGCGCGCTTGGTCTCGTAGGCGGAAAAAGTCGACCCAGAGCAGAAACAGTCGAGTGGCGCGCTGATGTCTGGTGGCCGCTCGTTGGCGAAGAGAAACACTGACTTTGCAAACGCCACTCGATGGGCCATCGACAAGTTGGCCCCGAGACCTCGAATGAGCGCGACGACGAATTCCGACCTGGTGGCGGAGCCTGTGACGTGAGACAACCCGTTCATGATGGTGCCGACGGTGGTGGTCGCGACGGTCTTGTCAAACCTGGCCACTTCGTCCAACGCCAACACAAACAACTCGTCGATCCATTTCGACAAGTTGGCGCTGTCAGGTTGGGTCTTGAGCCACTTGCTCACCAACCGCTTCATGTCCATGTCCTATCAAAACACATACAAGCGCCAATAGCATGAGCATGTTATCGAACAACTTCGGCGACGGCAATTAAACATGATGGGCGATATTATAATAATAATCTGCATGTCCAGCAGTAGGTCGCAACAGACATATTCCACTCCACTCATATTGGGAGACTTTTCGTAAGGAATTGTGAACATATTTAGAACTTCGTGTAGATAACATACCTCGTCGGAGAGGAAGATCATGCCCATGCGGGAGATGGTAGCCGGGGACGCGAAGCGTAGGTCGTGCGTTTCAAATATAAAGTTGACGTTTGGTCCAAAGTTGATGCGCTCGCCGTTGGGCAGCGTCAGGAGGTGGTTGTCGTCTAGCACAGAATTCAGCGACTCGATCCACTCGGGGTCGACGTCCCCGTCACAGACAATCCACGATCGGGTGGTTTCCGGCTCCTTGACGACCTTGCGCGCCGCGTCCGTGAGCACGCCGTCGTGCCACTCGCGCGTGTCCAGGTCCATATGCCCCAACAGGCGTTCGCGGGGCATCGACTTGGGGTTCATCACGTGCGTCTTGACCAGCTGGCCGCACTGGACCATCGCCGTCTGGAGGACCTGCCACACGGTGCTCTTGCCGCTTCCGGACGGCCCGACAACAACACACCCCATGCGCTGGTCTAAACTCTCCTTGAGTTGCAGCATCTTTCGAATCTGCAAGTCGTCCACTTGGCAGCTGAACGGCTTCTTCTCCATGACGTCGCGGATTGCCGCCTCCAAGTCGCCGCCGGAAATGTCAGCCGACGCGATGCCAGGGAACACGTCGCCAATCAGCGCGAGAAAGCGCTGCGAGTCGCCAAACGTTAGCTTGGACAACGTGTTGATGCGCACGGCTTTGATGAGGATTTCCGTCTCCTGCGCGCTGGTCATCCGGCCGGACACTTGTTTCTTGGCCAGTTGTAGCAACTTACCAGCGGTACTCAGCACCGCCTTGAGCGCGCGAAGCCCCCAGTCGTAGTGTTGCTGGGGAGTGAGCAGTTGGCCGCTGAGCGTGTACAGCGACACGACTTTGGACGCAATGTCTTTGGCTTCTCCGAATCCTTCCGACGACAGCACGACTTCAGCGATCAAGTTGTTGTCTGGCCGACCCATGGCCACCGGACGAAAGAGCGCCTTCAAGTTGTCTGGTAGCTTGGACCGGCCTCCGTAGCCCTTGCCAGCAGGGTTCAACGTCACGAAGATACCCGCGTTGAAGTCGACGTCCACGTGACGGTTGAGCAACGTGATAGACGTCACGTGGTTCTTGATGGCGTCTTGGATGAGCTGAATTTGCTGGGAAATGGCAGACAGTTGATCTTCCTTGAGCCGATTGAACTCATCAAAGCATCCCCATGCCCCGCATTTGACCAACCCAATGAAGATGCGACCCATACTTTGAAAGTCGATGCCTTCGTCGCAGTTGAACACAAGCACTTGGCGTCCAAATTGCCCCCCCAACGCCTTGACGCTTTCCGTCTTGCCCGTCCCAGCCGGACCATACGGATTCCCCCCAAACCCCATATGCATCCCCTGCGTTAGCGTCAAGTAACACTTGTCCGTTAGTGGCGTGTGCACCAGCTTTGGTGCGTTGCCTTGGTACTCGTATGTGTAGGCGAACACGGCGTCGTTCATCTTGATCACGCACTGGTTGTGTTTGTCCAAGTAAAAACGCAGTTGTTTCTGCCACAGCCAGTCCGTGAGCGTTCGCGTATTGACCAACTGGTCGCACACGTCGATGTGGTGGACAAGGTCCAGCACCAGCGCCTTCACTTTGAGATGCATCAATGGTTCTTGGCTTAGATCGAGCGACGTGAGCTCTCGAAGGGTGTCCTGCAGCATGGCTTTCAAGTCGGATACAGTGCCGTTCTTAATCGCGGCTTCGCACTGCACATTGAATCGGATTTGTTCAGCTAAACAAAGCACTTGCGACGGATACTCGGCGTAGTCTGGGCTGGCCGTCCCCGCGGCTTTGACAACCAGCAGCTTGAGCGTCTTGCGCATTTCACCCGTGAGTGCCTCCAGCCACTCCTCCACAGCACTTGTGATCGTCACGGGCGAGTTGAGCACGACTTTTTCTTGCGCAGAGCTGCACATGGCCACGATTTGGTCCTTCTTCTCGCTGAATTCTACGCGATGGATGCCTTGGTACAGTTTCTTCAAGTGCGTTTGGATCACCGCAGGGTTCTGGGACTGGCCCAGAATCTCCAGCAAGTCCTCGTCCCCGATGAAGTAAAACCGAGGGAACCGCGACCGCTTCTCTTCCAAAAAGTCGGCCAGCGCCTTCTGACACCGCTCCAGCTGGTCCACCATCGTCGTGAGGCGGTCCTGTAGCTGAGGAAAGAGCATCTCGTCCGCCAAGTTGAACAGCTTCGGGTCGGTCTCGACGGACCGCATGATGTCGCGGAACTCGTCGTCCACGCGCTTGAACCGTGAGGCTTCTGACGGTAGCGCGCCCTTGCCAAAGATCGGCTCCAAGTAGACCCACTTTCGCTGGATCAGGTTCAACTGAACCAGACACTGGTCCAACAACGCCATTTTGGTCTCGTACTGGCTCGCTTGGTCGGCAAACGGCTTGAAGAACTGCGACTCCTTGAGCGACGCCAGCAGCGATTGGTTGTCGCCCAATTGGAGCGTAATGTCTACACTCGACTGAGTCAAGCCCAACCCTAAACACGATAGAGAGTCGTACCTTTCCAGTCCTTGATGATGCAGCACGTTTTCCCGTCTTGTTCGTGGAGCAGCAAGGCCAACTCGGCCGTTTGAGTCCACGCCCGGAGCTCTTGCAAGGCGTCGCGGATGGTCACTTCGCCCTGAGCGCGGGCGTGCAGTACTTTAACGAACTGCAAAGTCGCCTGGGCTTCCAGTACGTCCAAACATTGAAGGAAGTGGCCCACCGTCAGTTGCACCAGCGACACGCCCTTGGCCACCCCGAGTTTGTGGAAGAGCTGCGTCCAGTGCTCCTCCTTGAAAGGGTCGCCCCGACACATTTTCAGCGTTGGCATAGCGCGCTTGATGTGGCCGCAGTGGTCCAAGATGCGGTCCACCACCCCCGTGTGATCGAGGGGTTTGAGCTTGTCGCTCCACTTGGTCGCAACGTCCGCCAAGTCAAAAATCTTTTCACGAAACGTGATCCAGTCTTGCTGGGCGATCACTTCCACTTCGGCATTGTATTCCTTGTACATGGACCAGTTCAATTCCACGCGGGCAATATCACTTTCGAGGGCCGGAACGCCTACAACACCACACAAACCAACGACTGGTCAGTCGCTATTGACAATGCCTACTCACTGGTGGCTACAGGGAATGGAAGGCTGGCATCTCCACGCTATAAACGATAGGATCCACCGAGGAAATATGTGATAATGTACCGTCGAACTGCGGCAACGTCATTTGAAAAGTCGTGCAGTTGTCGACCAACGTTGTCGACCTGTGCACGATCTCGTTAAACTGTTCGCGCCATTCAACCATGGCGTCGTAGATCTTCTTGACCGCGTCGTCTTCCCACGTCGTCACGTCCACCGGTTTGAGTGTGTTCCACCGCTGCGAAAACTTTTCAATTTCTTGGTTGCACTCTATGATCTTGGCTTCGATCTCGCCCTTCAAGCTCTCACGCTGCTCTTCGATCATGTCGTTGAACGCTTCCAGAGCGATCTCAAAGTTCTCCCACTTGGAAGGGAGTTGCGACAGTCGAAAGACGACGTCGCTCGTGTCGATGCTGCCGCCGGCCGAGCTCAACAGCAGCGTCTTCTTCTTCTCGGCTTTCTGGACCAGCGCCTGAAACGACGGTTTGTGGCCATCGATGGCCTTCCATTCGGTTTTCGCCTGACCGATCTCTTCAATACTGTGGGGGCGCTTGTTGAGTTTGTCCATGGACGAGTCAAGAAAGTCTTCCACAAGCTTCAAATGACTAGTTAGACTCTTTCGAAGGCTGAGCAGCAGACTGTCCTGGAGCCGGCTCAAGTACTCGTCCAAGCTCGACTTGAACGGCACGAGCGACACGCTGATGCAGTCCACCTTGACAAAGTCGGGAATTTTGTCGCTGTCTTTGCGCTTCGCCTTGAGCGCTTTCAAGTTGACGTCCCAGTCGTTGACGTCGCCGAGCATACTCTCGAGCATCGCGTCCAAGTCGGATGCGTGCGTCAAGTACGTCCACTGGTCGTAGTCCTTGGTCACGTGCTCCAATTTTGCAAACAAGTGCTCGCCGTTCTTGTACACTTGGACGATGTTGGCTGCGTTCATGTCGCACATGCTGGCAAAGACGTGGGGGTTGGCAAAGCCCTTAAACATGGCGGGGCGCCCGATAAACTTCTTCATCGCCTTGTAGTAGTTCGCCCGCAGGTCTTCGATGGGGGGCTTGAACGCCAACGCCCCGCGCTGGGGAAACACCAGCTCGACTTTGATTTCCGGCAGGTTTTCGTTCAAACTCTCGAGGCCGATCTGGTACCCTGCTTCGAGCACCTTGTACAGCTGGTAGTCCCAAAAGAGGAGCCACTTTTTGGTCAAACTGGGGTCATACTTCTTGACGGTCGTCGTCACAAACGCCTTGATCGTGTCGAACTTGTCCTTCCACTTTTCCGGGTACCGCAGCAAGTCGACGTCCATGAGCACGACTAACTCTTCGCTCACCTTGTCATGCGCGCGGCGCAGCTTGCGGTTCTCCACTGACAGCGCGTCCGCCGCCTGCTGGAGTTGGCGGACGTACTCTTCGCATTCTTCCAAGTTGTTCCACGTCACGTCTACTGGTTTCTGCTTGGACGTGGTGGTTTTTGCAGAAGCCGCGGCGGACTTGACGCCCGGGCGGCGCACAATGTCTTCGAACGCGACCAACGCGTCCAATAGCATGGGTTTCTGCTCGTCGATGATTTGGCTCTCCATGTTGTTGTAAAAGTTGGCCACCTTCTTCAGCGTGACGCCGTACCGGTAGTACTTTTCCGCTTCGAGTGCCACTTGGAGGACCCGCGGCGGCACCCATGGCGCACGCTGCTTGCTGCCGGGGTCCGTGGCGTTTAGTTCCGTGAGTTGACGCACGTCCCGCAGCAACGTGACGAGAAACTCGCTGTAGTTTACCGTCAAGATCCCGGCCTTGTCGATCTCCATAAGCCGACCGCTGAGCTTGAGCGATGACTCGCTCGTGCTCAGGTTTTCTTCCACGTCTTCTTGCCACGACCGAATGTGTTCGGTGATCGTGCCGTGGATCTTCTGGAGCACTTGGTCGCCGGCTTTTTTCAACCCGCCAAAGCCAGGCAAGTCGTCCAGTACCGTCGTGGCCAAACTCAGGATGGTCGTGATGCGGTTGGTCAGCATCGTGCCCCACACAATGTAGTTGACTTTGGCCGACAGATTCTTCCCGCATGGCGCATCTTCGTTGGCGCGGTTCTCGAAATCGCTGCCCAGTTGGTCGATCTGCGCCATAATTTGGGCAAGGAGGGTATCCCGTTCACCCGACAGCACCCGACTGATTGCCGGTCGTTTCAACAACGCGCGGTACTGCTGCAAGTACCGCAACGCCGTTGTGGGTTTGCTGATCACGGTGGCCATCCGCTCGCGGAGGTTCGCCCCTGCCTGGGCTTCAATCGGGGCCAAGAGCGCCTCAAACTCGTCCACGGTGCGTTGCCACGCGTTCGCCGTGTACGGATTGTACTGCAGCGGTTGCACGCGGTCGAACACGTCAAAGCAGGATGCCGTCAGCGCCTTGTCCGTGCACAGCGACACGAGCTCTTCGAAGGTTGTGCGCAGCCGAAGCACTTCTTCCAAGCGCTTCATCAGCGGTGGTAGCAGTGCGTCGTCGTGGGCGTGGCCATCCCACGGATGCTCGGCGTACGACGGCCAAAACGTTCCGGTCAATTGCTCCATGTACCCAATCCACTTTTCGCACAGCGCAATCGACTGCGTCAGTGTTACTTGCACCGCATGAAACGCGCCTTTCCATACGTTCAACGTGCCTGCTTTGAGCACGATAAAGCTACAAATTACTGTGAATGACCATATCTTTTAAACGACAAAGCTGTACGGGTACCTGTTGAGAGCGTGGTCGATCAGGCCGAAAAAATGCACCATGCGCTTTTGCGGGTACTGTGCCGCACCGTCTAAGTCGGCGCGCCAAATGTCGTCCACCGTGTTGTTGGTGTCGTCTAGCAGCTCCGACATGTCGTCGAACGTCAACGCGTCCAGAGTGCCATATCTCGACTGAATCGCGTCTAGAGAACTGCTGAACTTGGAAGCGCGCTCCCTGTCGCGGCCAGTCATATTATTTTCCCAAAACTGCACTTCGTCTTGCACGGTCACGATGCCAAACAAGTTGACGTCGCCACCTTTGTCGTTGGTGCCCTTTTCGCGCACGGTGGTCTGGAGGCCAGCGTCGAGTTCCAGGAGAACGTCCTTGAGCTTTTGGGATAGGCTGGCGCTGCCCCCGTTGAGCAAAAGAGGCGCGTAGATGTTATGCACGGACTGGAACAAACTATACAGCGGGGAGTTTGTCATGGACGACACTTGGATGTTGGTCGACAAGTTGTCTGCCGTCAAAGGCTGTGGCAGCGTCTTCACGAGCAACACGGCTTGGGATGATGTACCCTCCGCTGCGTTGTTGCTGTCGTCCCATTGCACAGTCGTGAACAGCGATATCTTTTTATCGGCGCCAAGTCGGACTTGCAGGAGGGTGCAGGCTGTGTCGTCCAAGAAGGACGCGAGGGCCTTATCCTCGGTGATCTGACTCAAGTCGGCATCTTTGTCCCGCCACAGAGACTCCAAAAGCTGAAGCACGTAAGACCGACGCACGTCCATGCCTTCGCGCCCCATCCTTTCGCGAGTGTTCCAAACGGTGACTGTTGAAGGTGCAAAACTGTGAACAGGCACCATCCGGAAAATATGCGGAGTGAAGCACTAGAAGTACACTGTAATAGTTGATGATGTGTAACCGTAAACGTTACGTTAGCTGCGGCACTTTTCCATGGACGGCCTGCTGACGCTGGACTTGCATGCTGCGACCCCGTCTACCATATTAGTATTTGAATGACATGTGAACAAACAGTCTGATTTGTCCCTAGCAACATGCAACCAAGTTTGTGGCCATCAATACAACAACAATTACTCAGGTAACGTTAATGAAACACAGTCATGATGCTGACAACGATATGTGCCATAATCCTCATGCAGGAGCTTCAAGGTCCGTCGCTGGTGATGGCTCAGAAGATTATCCTGTGAGATATCAATCGAAGCCCGTTGTGGCGTCGTGCTTACTCGAGGGTTTAGGTGGCTGCTGAACGATCGAGCTCACTTGCGGCAATGCAACAAACGTAGCGCTCATATAGCAGTCCTGCCATCTTATCATGGGTGCATTAGATCTCAAAAAAGAATTGGACAATGCTGTGGCTGCCGTTGGCAAGTCAGATGTCAAAATTATCAAGTCTCGACGCTCACCGAAACGTGCCCAAGTTAGCCCCATTAAACCCGCCGCCCAAGCCGATGGCAACGACCGGGCGCTTGAACCACCACTCCCAACCCCACCCACACCCCTCAATACCCCAGCCATGGACTCAACTTTGCAACTTGCCAATCCCCATGCCGCCAACACTCTCGGCCAAGAGCCAACGACATTGCCGCTGTGCAGTGACATTCAACCTGAACCATCCGCTGGAGGGGGGAGCATAACACTCTGCTCGTTATCGTTGAATGCACTATGCTCTGTCGATACCTTTCAAACCTGTGCCCAAGACCAGCTGGCCGCCTCAACAATCATCATGCCTCCAGCAATGCCCATCACATGTCACCTCAGCAACGTCACCAATACATCTAGTAGAAAAAACGAGGCCGGTGGTGCAGCCAACCCTGCCTGCACTTCCCACCCAAACGTCAACACAGCACGACTCCAATTGCAAGCATTTGTTCGGGGGTATTTGGTATGTGCTTACTACTACTATAACTGCTATTCCCTCCTACTCGTCCGATTAACCTGTCCTCGTAGGCCCGCAAGCGATTTCGCGCCCTGTTGGAAACCATCTTGTTGGCAGGGGATATCGACAATGACAACGCTTGAGTGTTAACCGAATCGAGGCCGGTCCATCCGCACTTCCAAGTATCGCCCCTTAAACTCCGAGTTGTGCAGTCTTGCTACAATGTCAACAAATAAGCCACAAATGGTTTGCGGAATTTGTTACCTATGGCTGCTTGGGCATCAGAAATGGACGAGCATTGCACCAGCGCATATCCTTTGGCGCGGCCGTCGGCGGCGGACGGAATCTCCACATGGTCAATATTGGCCACCGATCGAAACAAGTCTTTCATGTCTTGCCATGACACATCAAACGGAACCTACACATTCCCTCAATTAAGACGTGCATACACGACAGAAGTAGCAACGGAGTGAACTTACATTTCCCACAAACAACTTGGACGTGGCAAGAGGAGGCGACGACGACGACGGGGGGTACGATGACCTGGGCTCATACCCGCGACTGGGCTGGTCGTACGCGGAAGGCCGTCCATCCCTTGGCGGCGAAGAGTACGCGGAAGGTCCCCGAGTCGGCGGGACGAAAGCAGGTTCATAGGCTTCGAATCCACCAGGATTCTCACGAGAGAGAGGAGCGCTGTCGTAGCGTGGACGAGAAAGCGGCGCCACGCTGGGAGGGTCGTACACGTCGTAGCTGCGGGGAGGGGGGTTGTTGTCAAAGCGCTGAGAAGTCGATGCAGCAGGGGCGTTGTACGGGTCGTAACCTCGCGAACCCCCGTCATACCCTCGGGAGCTAGGTCCAGCATCAAATCCTCTGGAAGGGGTGGTAGAATCATATCCCCTCGAAGGAGGGACAACAGCGTCATATCCTCTCGAAGGGGGAGCAGCATCAAATCCCCTCGACGGGGCAGAAGATTCGTATCCCCTGGAAGGGGGTGCAGAGGAAGTATAGCCCCTGGATGGGGGAACATCATAACCCCTTTGAGGCGCTACGTCGAATCCTCGACCAGATGACGGGCCGCTTTCAAACCGAGGAGGGGGCCCCCGGTCGGCGCCGCGCGAGGGAGGTGGGCCGCCACCCCCCCTAGGAAACCCCGATGGAGGAGGACGGAGACTGCTGCCCGGTCTGCGAGTCGCTTCTCGGTCCTCCCGGATGAACACCTTGCGGTCGCCAAACTGCGTGTCGTTGAACATACGGATGGACCGTTCGGCGGCTTCCGGACAGTCAAATTCAACCAACCCGCATCCCTTGGACCGACCACTGGGCTCTTCCAACACTACAAGTGCCACATGTAATGCTTGCTTGGTCCATAGCATATTGGGAGCGACTTACCATCGGCTTGGATGACGTTGCCCGCTTGTTTCATAAAGTCCTTGAGCTCCTGCCACTTGACACTCCACGACAGGTTGCTCACGTACACCCGTGACGTTTTGATTGGCCCCCCTGCCTGCGGGGGCCCACCTCCACTGGAATACGGACTCGGGCGTCCTCCACTCTGCGAAGGGTACCCCCCTCCGTTCCCAGCGAACGGCAACGACGACGAAGCCGGCGGTGGCGGCCCCATCGCTCCGTCCTCCCGGTCTTCCCGCACGAAAATCTTGCGCCCCATCAGCTCCGTATCCGTCAACGTCCGAATGGCCTCTCTAGCCATCTCCACCGTGCGATATGTGACCAAGCCGCATCCCTGCGACACACACCCGACATGACGACATGATTGACGTGGCATGAGATACCTTCGATCGACCAGTCGCTTCCACCAAGACATCGCAGTGATCCACTTCCCCCGCTCTGCGCATGTGATCCTTCAGATTCATCCACTTGACGTCCCACGACAAGTTCCCCACATACACCCGACGACCACTGTCCCGCGCGGCATGCCCTGCGGAACTACCTACATCAGGAGCCGATGCGTTCGATTGATACCGCCCCCGTTCTTCATGTGGCTGGGGCCAACCACCACCACCACCACCACCGTAGGATGACCCTCGTTGCGGGCTGCTGTGGTACGGCCCTGCAGACGCCATGTGCTGCGATCTATGCTTTGGATACTCCCTAATCTTCCCACCACCGCCACCATAACCACCACGATCTCCATTGCTGCGGTACGCATTGTCCACCTCATTCCCACGCGCCTGCTGCTGCTGCTGCCGAGGCGACCCCATCGTCCACACGTCACTTTGCGATTGTTCGTTACTCGCTGGTAGATGATTGTTCTGGTATCCGGATAACGAAAGGGCTGCGATTTGTCAATTTTGAACTGAATAATAGCCAATCGACGTAGCCTTGATGTCGAAAGGGTGCGTTGTGTCGATCTTGCGATTATTTGCTCGCTCAGCGACAACTTGTATGCGACATTGGACAACCAATGACTACAACATGGCTGCGACAGGTTAAATATTCAGTTGGCCAGTGTAAAGGACGAAAAGGCAAAGTGCGGACCACCGTTTATTTGGGAAGTGGGGGACTCTGAGTGCCTCGGGTGAAATTGATCCAAAGCATTGGTTGGGGAACTGGGAGGTGCATGTGTCCATCTCCACCCGACGGACGAAACTAATCAGCTTCACCAAGTTTGAAGATTGGTTTGGTGTAGTTTTGCATCGCAGCTAAAGACTAAGACATTTGTCCAGGAGCCATTCTATAACGTTCAAGGCTTGAGAAGGTTGGTGCCGACTGTGTTGAAAAGGATTACAGCGACGACATGCTGGTCCCCATTTGGAGGCTACAATTACCCATCGAATGAACCACATGAAGGCGCGAGTTGGTCTCAGTACACCTTGAGCATGTACTATGTTTTACTACAGTATACTCGGTCGATGGTACACAACCACCACCATTTTCACAAGGCATTCATGTAGCGGCGTTCTCGCTTTGTTCAAGTTTACCGTCTCCAACTTCACGCTAAGAAGTCAAAGATGGTCTTTTCGACACCGCTTGGAATCGCTTGGTGTAGTCCTTCCAGTGCAACGTTAAATAACTGTTGCATGTGCTGCTTGTACGTCGTCGCACAATACTCTAAGCCTGCGAATTCAGCCGACCACTCAAATAGAATGCACACGAACCGTTCAGTTCACGCAGGGCATCCAAGCGCTTCCAGTCGTGGGCAATGTCGTTTGGAATTCGATGGTGCTAGTAGTGTGACATAAGTTGGTGTAAAGACCATTGTCAGGAGGTCAAGTATAGTACTGTACTTCGTCGGCGATGTACGGGTCGGCTTTGGCTTGCAGTAGGAGCTTCACCAGCAACGGGTCTCCATGTTGGCACGCGCAGTGGAGGGGAGCTTGACCCTACCCCCAAAAACAAGACATTGCTGTTTTCGAACGTTCGTCTTGTCGCTCGTACGTTGTCGTCTTGGAGGTCGACTGGAGCGCCAAGCCGCAGCAGCATTTCCACCGCTTGTGGCTTTCCCCATGTGCAAGCAGTATGCAGCGCCGTTTGGCCCTGAGAAACCATAATCGATATAACGTAAATAACCACTGAAGCAAAACCAACAGCTCACACCCCCGTTTGTTTGAGGTGGATGGTGGCCCCGTGCGCCACTAACAACGCCATGGTGTCCATGCACTGGTTCTGCGCCGCCACGCACAACGCTCGGTAACCGTCCGTGTCATGGTGGTCAACGTCGTGCCCTTTGTCAATCCTATCTCGATGAACCTTCAGGTAACAGTATGTACTGGGTCCAGAAAGCAGCAAAGGTCACCATCGCTGCACGACCGACGTTTGGTTGAGTGACGCGGCATGCACGAATGCATCGTACGTCGACATACGGTGAAGGTCACTGGTCTGAAGTACCTCGCTTTGACCGCGACCTTGGTCCTATCCGCTTGGATTGGTGGTCGTCTGCTCTGTAGTGACTCCATGGTACTGTATGCTGTCGTTATTACCGTCACGGTTTTGTCGGGGGCGTCCACAACTGTGACAAGTGTCGACATGAACGAATGCACGTGGCAGTAACACCGAAAAGTTCCCGGGGTCGAGAAAGTATGTGAGAATTGCTGGCCATACACTAAGTCGGGCGACTCGACGGCACCGTCCTCGCTTGTCCAAGGGCAATTAGCTGGTCGAATAGAGGAGGGTTGGCGGCTACCTGTTGACAGTGTGCAGACGTGCCAGTGAATTAGCATGCGTCCACGTCACGGATGCCCCTCTTTGCACCGTGATAGCTGAAGGCACAAAGGCAAAGTCAACGATGTGGACGACGGTGGCGGCGGCGTGGGGCGGCATAATGCATACAAAACGATATATATATTGAAACGGCCGCCGTTACGAAGTTGGGTCGGCGAAAAAGTACATGAAGTTGCTGAAAAAGTCAATCAGTTGGCTCTTGGAGAAGCGGTCGCTTCCGTTGTGGTCGAGCTCGTCCAAGATCGAGTCGAGACCATCCTCGGTCAAGTCTCCAGGGATGCCCAGCTCTTGCAGCGTGGTTGCAATGAACTTCTTGGCCTCATCTTTGCTCAAGAAACCTTGGTTCGTCGTGTCGAGCGCACTCCAAGTCTCGTCCATCGTTGCTTGCGCACTTTCTTGGTCAGACATCGCTTTACAGTACAGTATGCAGCTTGATGAACGAGGAATTTGAAAAAGGCTGTATTCATCTATCTATGCTATTAAATGGTTCATATATCATATTTATACTATTAATATTTATATAGTCGTATACTACTACAGTATACTGGTACTACGTAGGATAATGTCCGTCGCTGACCTAGTCAAGAAGGGCAAGCGAGGATTCCGCTTGTGTTTTCGTCAGTGCTGCGCTCCACAATAGCAAAATGGGGGAGAAAGTGAATTGTTATCGCACAGACGGGAGTGGCGTGGCGGGTTATAGAAGCTAACAGTAAGCGAGAACAACTTTAACCCTGAGAGGCTAAAACTGAGGCTTCGGTTACACCGCAACCATCCCTTTGAATAGTACATCCCATGAAACCGCTTGGACCACGGGGATCAACCAATTGAAGTGTAAAAACGTTTTCTGTGTCAGACTTTGGCATATCAAATTGTTTCACCAAAGTTCACGATCACGACCGAAAAGGAATATTCACAAGAGTATCAGTATTGTCAGCTGCAAAAAATCACCCTGTTATTGTTTGGGTGGCTTCGTGTCTCGATTCATAGGACAGTAGGCCAAAAATCATGTTCATCTTAACGTTACAAGCGTGCCGAGCCTCGGTATATTGTGCTTGCTGCCTTGAGGGATCTACGCCTTGGTAGCAATCTTTATTGGTTTCGTGCCTGTGATTTTCAGGTCTTCCAGTATCCAATCCATTTCGCCATCCACAGCGGATCGAAACGTGGCTGCAACATGCAGCGTTCCCCCCGTGTTGGGCGACTCTGCAGCTGGCTTAGCGGGGGCGTCGTTGGCCGTGTCAATATCCTTGTCCGAGGCCGCAACGATACGCTGTTCCAACTCGGCGGCATTTCCTTCGTTTTCGTACGGCTCGTTCGTATAGGGCAGGCTGCAGACTACCGTCAACGCCACGGTTTCCGAGTGATCGTCGTCGTCCACATTGAACGATCCATCAGAAATAATGCACTCGGTGATGGGCTGCGGAATCACCAAACCATCGTTCTTCTTGGCCTGTTTGGCACAAAAGGCAATCAAGTTCTTGTGGAGGCGCGGTGTGCATGTTGTCTGCAGGTACGTGTCGGCGGAAATGGCTTCGTCGGGCCGATTCACTGCAAAGTCAACCATCGAAGGGCTAAACACGTGTGCCAACGTCAACTGCAACGCATGCTTTGACCCGTCGCGAAAGTCGCGGAGGTCAATTGCCGCCTCGGGCACACATGCTGTGGTGATGATGCACATTGCCCTACTTGTGTTCTTGGGTTGAATGACACGGTCCGCCATGAGCTTGTCCACCACAGGGACGGAGAAATTCTCGGCCAATCGGGCCTGAACAGTCCCCACTCGCGTGAAGCCGCCTGTGAACACGATGTTGTACAGCTGGCGCAGCATGTCCAAAGTCAAGTGGTCAACGGTGATGCGCTGGATAATCGACCGGATAAACCACTTCTGGCCAATCAGGATTCGTCTTCGGAAACTGGAAGCGCCATCAAGGACAACGACGGACGATCTCAACGCCCAGCCCAACTGGATGTCTCTCAGTGGCGTGATCTTCCACGTTAACGACGAGAATCTCTTAGGACGCGATGGTTTGTACGGGCCTATTAACGTTAGCGGCCACGACGCCACAGTCGCGGTCAGCGGACGCCTCTGCCATAACGTTAGCCATGATGGTATAAAACGCTGAGATAACAGCCTCCGTCGTGAAGCTGTCTCGCGACACGGACATTGAGGATGCATTCATTGACGACGAGTGCGCCGTCTTCAATCTTGGCTGGCTGAGTATGTGCCCAAGTTTGCATCGTAGGCCGACTTCCAGGAAGCAACGGCATTTGCAAGTTTGGACCGCATGGTCCGCTCGCTGCTCCTTCCAATGCACCACCCCAGGCCACGACACCCTCACGCATCTCCTGGGCTCAAGAGTACGCCGACACGGCTCAAACTATGTCTTCTCGAAACCAAGTTCATTTCATCATCATCGTGACATTCTCTAGATATACATATTGTCCATTCAGCCATGATTTGGAGTTTTAGGTTGATCCGCCGACTCCATCGATCGATTTTTAAACTGACAGAGAGTTAAGAGTGTCGCCCTTCACACTATTTTCATTCACTAATATTGTTGATGAGACAGGTTTGATTGGCTACTTGAACACTATTCTGGGTTTTGATTGGTCGGTCCATTGTCTGTCGAGTTGGTGCTGTAGGCTGCGGGAACAGGCTATAGTTAGTAGCAACGAGAATTCCATGAACCTTGCCAACACAACAGAATGTTCCATCACGCTTCAAGTATAGCTAGAAGCATCTATCACTGGGATCGGCGCGGTTTGTCGTCTGACGTCGCCGAAGCATCTTTGTTGCTGTCCGCCGAACGCCGCATTTTTATCATTTGAATGTCAAGGAATAAAAATACGTGCATTTGAATGAAGACACCCAACTCACCCGTTTCCGGAACTATTATCCGGATAGATTCGAATTTCTCGCGGGCCTTCCATTCCCGGAATGGTAGCGCGCTGATCCGACAATTGTGAAGCGCAACTGGTCCTCTGAAGGCTTACGCGATCTAACAATATATGGCACCAATTGAAGTTGTATGTGGCGTGTGCTGATCAACCAGTTCACTAATAAAACTGTCGAAATGACCAATTCCCGCAGCCTCCTGCTCAATCGATTAACATGAAAGTCAACTTGACCATATAATCATCTCCAAATCTAACTACGGTAGCTGCATCAGTTGATTGTGATGGAGCACGACAAGGGCCAATACCATTCACGCGTGACTGACTACCTCCAACTGGGCACCCACACCGTCGTGCTCGAGGAACTATTATATTCCATCTTGATATACTATTAAGAGTATAGAGTTTATTTCCCAGCCCCTGGTGTTGCCACGTCACATTGACTTCACTTTGTCGTTTGCATTGTAGTCGCTGTTGTTCAAGGTTAAGGATCCTCACTTGCCTCGCTTGTACATGAACGGGTTCGCCACGACCACTCTGGACGGCTTGTCTTGACGTGTACTACAGCACCGCATCATGCACAAGATCAAAGTACTCTTAGAATATTCTTGTATGTTTGATAAGGAATGATTTTGAGCATACTCTCTCCATACAAAACGATGGATGGGTTGATTAGTGAGTCCCGACAATCGTTGTCATGTTGTAGCTGCTGTTTGCCGTGGAAGCCAAGACGGTGCGGCACCTGTCGCCGCTGCTGGGTGCGCTCTGTTTGCCAAAGATGCACAAAGCGATGCCGACCGCGCCGCGCTTACTCCTTTTTTCATGGGATATGAGAGTTTGGGAAATTTCTGCATAACGTTACTTGCCAAAACAGGTTACGGCATAATTTTATGGGGTGGCATCCAGAATAGCCCTTAACCACAAGAATATATATCTATTCGACGAGGGTGATATTGTCCAGCGCGACGGCAGGCAAGTAGTTGCCATCGCATGGTTTCAGCCCACACTAGCTAGACCAACCAGCTTAGAAGTATTGTTGGTCACTGTTCGGTCGGACCTTGTGAGTTATGGATGTACGGTGTAGGAACCATTGTATGATAGAACTGTCACGAAGCGGGGTCTGTGAGAGGTGGCTGCGCTCCAGCCAGCAAATTGCATAATTTTGTAGATATATTATTGGCTATAAGTATTGAAATGTGCCCGATCAAACCATTAGATCTCATAAAAAAAGCAGTCACGATGGCGCACATCGCGCCTCGCAGTGAATACCCAGGTCGCTTTACAACTACCAGCAGCTACAATAGACAACCAGGACATAGTAGCGAATGATTGTATGTACTAAATAGGCTACAATTTATATGTCGTTGCTTGCATCGACGACATACAAAGCGTAGCGTTATAAATTGGTGGTAAATGTATCAAAAGCTCCATATCCCGGTAGGGAGAGAGAGGGAGGAGTCAATATAGGATTTTCGTAAAAAAACTGCTTTTCATTTTTATGGAACCAGCCAATCATACTACTACATTCAAAAGTATACAAAAGTACTGTATAAATTCCTATTAATAGTACATACATGAAATGGCAGCGCCAGTCACCATTTTGCTCCAGAGAGCGGAAGCTAACCCAGGCATCGTATAGAGCGTGTAGCGTGAGCTTAGGAGCATGTAGAGTACTGTAGTTGTAGATACCCACCTAACTAGTCCTTCGCAGCATTCCACGACCGTGCGGCGCGGGTAGCGATCGCTGTGCCCTAGCTGAGCACCACGATTCGACGGACTCAGGCCGTGGAGTCACTCGGAGTACTGTACTGTACTGATCAGAATGCTTTTTGGATCCTAACTCCGTTTGCTTTTAAGCGAATTAAAATACACAAGAATATAATTTGCATTTCAAAATCCGCGAAACAGATTTCAAAATGCTCTATCTTAGAGCTCTTTCGAAGATATTGACTCCCCCTAATGATCTGTGAGGTACTACGTAGTATTATTTTTCTAACGTTAACGTTATAACGTTACTGTACCCGTACTACAGTATCAACGTTAATACCATAGTATATTATCAACACTACCAGTAACTGAGATACAGTTCGATTTCTACTGTAGTAGTTACTAGTAGCTACTAGTCACGGCCGACCCATACAAAGTGCAAGATGAGAAAAAATGGCATGGCGGGCGAGTCGTGAGTCCGTGGGCAGGGCATCTGAGGCATGCATACTATGAGGATACTCATGAGTAAACAGTAAGAGTTATGTTGTCTTAGTGTACTGTACGCAGGTGCAGACGTGTCCATAACTACCGGTACAGGGAAAGCGTGGATCAAACTCCCTGCCAATTGAGCATGGGGGCGGCAACGGACCAAGGTGAAAAGCATTCATTGACCGAAACCACTGAAGCTTTTTAATTACTGAAGCATTCATTACCCTTGATTTTTTAATATATATGACCAAAACAGTTATGATATTTTAATATCATTACTGTTTATAAACTTACAGCTAAAACTGTAAGTTTATTACTAGTATTGAATAGTAATACTACTCCGGAGTACGTAGTAGTAGGAATACTGTACTAGTTATTGGGTACTTTGTGCCCTTTCTTTAATTCTGCAGTTGTGCCCCAGCTGGTTTCTCCAAAGCTGGTGACATTTCCGCTTTATATTGTCCTCTACCTGTCTAGAATTCCCCAACCATTGATACAGTGGTACTAAATAACGATACCAGACGTCCGTTTGGTGTTTTATTGGGGTTTTGAGATATTTATTGGCTTCTTCTGCATTTCTCACCAGCGGCTGGTCGCGGAATAAGGTCTTGGTCGCTCAAGTGAAGTTGAACTTGCGCATGAGAAATACTCTCATTGTCAATATTATTGTTGAACCAAGATACTTCGAGTATTTCTTACTTCGAAGTATATATACGTGTGTATAAGTATACTTGCCTTGCATCCCATTCTAAGTTAACGTTAGCGGGGTAAAGCAATCATTCGGAAACTGGAAGGATGTCAACATGGAGCACCAAGGTGGCTGCCATGTCCGTAGCCGTAGCGACGGTGGCCGTTGTGTCTATATACGTGCACTGGACAACTAACAGATCGACTTCCAAGCGGCACCAAGGACAACGACGGATCGCACTCGCCGACCTCAACGCCCAGCCCAACTGGGTGTCTCTCTGCGGTGTGGTCTTCCACGTTGACGACGAAAATCTCTTAGGCCGCGACGGCGTGTACGGGCCTATTGGCGGCCACGACGCCACAGTCGCGTTCAGCGGACGCCTCTGCCATGATGGCATAAACGGTGAAACCACTGCCTCCGTCGTGGAGTTGTCCCTCGACACCGACATTGAGGATGCAATCACCGACAACGAGCGCACCGTGCTTCAATCCTGGCTCGCTCTGTTTGCGTCCAAATTTCGCATCGTGGGTCAACTGTCAGATCTGTATTGCCATCGAACGTGGGACCAGCTGCGGTCGCGGGTGCTGCACACTCAGTCTGACAGCGCCAACGTGCCTCCATCCTGTCCCCTCGGGTTCGGCACTCGTCTGCGAACTGTAAGCCCACCGGCGCTTGAGACAATGGACGGGTGCAGTCGCTGGATAGACTTCAGCGGCACGCGATACAATGTGTCCGGCACGGCGTCCTTCGGCCCTGACTCCCCCTTTGGCACGTATGTCGGCCACGACATAACGTACGCGTTGGCCATTGGATCACTCGACCCGAATGACCTTGACGTGGCCCTCACCGACGACAACCAGCTCACATTCGCACAGCAAAAAGTGCTGGCACAATACCACCACACATTCCGAACCAATCTGCCAGTAGTTGTTTCATCGTCTCCGTAAATTTTTGCGTGTGATAAATGGGAATTAGTAGCCATCCATTGGTTCCAAATCGTGATTGCAGAGTGTGAACACATACAACAGTAGATATAGCACGAGCAACTATTTTCTGCTCCATCAAACACGCAATAAATATATATATATATATATCCATTTCCGACGTAAACATCCGACCTAAATCCAATTCGCTTGAAAGCTGTGAATCCATGTCAAAATCGCTTGGTTCACGTCTGCATTCCCCTGCTCTTGACCCATGCTATGGTACAATTCCTTGAAGTCCAATAGATCCTTCTTGGCGCACGTGAGGCCCAAGAAGAAGTTGTGAATGTCCACCGTCGGCTTTTTAGAGTCCAACTTGCCGTTCAGCAAGAGCAGCGGTACATGCAGCGAGTGCTTGGTAAAGTCCAGTTCCTTGAACGCTTCGTCCGTGGGGTCGCTCACTTCGCTCTTGTTTTCCTCCTCAGTGAACGTTCGCTCGGTAGTGTCAGTGAAGTCGTTGCCCATGTGGTCCTTAGACCGCGGTAGGAGTCTGTCGCGAAAAGACGCAAATGTCGGCCGCGTGGTCGGAAGAAACGACCGCCACTGGCTCGATATGGTCGTCGTAATGCTGGCCATGATGCCAACGGGCGGGATCAAGTCGGGCGCCGTGACGATGATTCCTTTCCAAGGAAACTCGGAAAGGATCCCGGTGTGCGCTGCCATAACCCCGCCGTAGTACACCCCGCACAAGAAATAGTCCACTTGGTGGTCGCCCATGCGCTGGGCTACACCCAGAGCGAATTGATGCACGTCGTCCACGTACTGGGTGACGCCACACGCGTTGGGCGCTGGAAATAGCGACATGTTGGACGCTTGCTTTTGGAAGTTCACTTCAGGGTTCGGGTGCCTGTACATGGCAGTGGATTCCGACGCGCCAGCGGCCGCTGTGCTCGCCAACGGGCTTTGCTCCAGTGCAAACACGGCGATTTGCTGTGCCGCTAAGTACTTGAACAAGCCTTCGTACCGCAGGCAGCTCTCGTCCAAGCCTGGCAGGAACACAACCACCGCCAGTGGATCCTTTGGGACGTAGGAACAGCAGTGGAGATGCTGTTGTCGAGCATTCGTGACGATTGCTTTGCCCTGGGAGAAACTCACGTGTCGTTGCTGGAGCATGACCAATGTAGAATGAATTCTCTCATACGCACTGACAGTCCGATTCCCATCATCAGAAAAATTCGCATAAATCGGTCAATTCTGCATTCATGAAAATGGAATGGAGCATTATTTTGAGTTTTCAATATTTCGAATGGCATATGAATCTATATTTTGACCAGGGTTTGGGTCATGGTACTTGACTAGTGTAATTACTTGTCGTGCGATTGGCCACGGTGGTATTTATTGCCTTTGGACCTTTGGATTGTACTGTACTTCTGCTTCAAAACCCACCACGACCCTTGCAAGCCATTGCGTCGAATGACCGTATCTATTTCTCCTCCCAGCATTGCAGCAATGTGATGGTAGTTCATCCTTATCCCATCCTTATCCTGATCTCTGACACTCCGGAGTAGTAAAGTCTAACAGTTCAGGTCAGGGCCTCGAAAGTGCACTTCCAGTACACTACGTACCCGGTACTAGTGGTAGTACAAAGTAGTTCGGCGTATATTCGTGCGACACAACGAACCAATGAGCTCTAGTTGATTGGCCACGATAGCATCCGGCATCAGTCGAACCAGCCAAATCGCCAAGCCAGTTGGGAATGTTGTAGTTCCGCTGGTCTGAACCCATTCAGGCCATCGGTTGCCAAAAGGCATACCGGTACTAATACTACACGTATTACCGTTGGAGATGCTCTAATTTATACGTATTAATACGTGTACAGTACAGTACTCTACTGCCTGTTAATACTATTAATAGTAACGTTACCTGTACTAGGTAGTACCGTACTGTACTGTAGTAGCGGTTCGTCTTTTGAAATGGCATGCTTAGTAGGTATCGATACTGCTCAAAATAAATACTAACGTTACGTGGTACTGATACTAACAGTGTATTAGTAAGCTGAAGTTAAATTTATGGAATACGTTCAGAATATACAATTTTGGTGTGTAGCGCTCGAAATAGTGCTTTGCCGTTTTTGTCAAAGATCTCCAATTCCGGCCAACGGTTATTCCGTAGCTCGAATAACAAGCAAATGCCACCTCAAACCTCAAAACTAATGGACGACGATGCACACGAAGTCGACAGCTACACCACGGACAATCAATGCATGAGTCATGATGGTGCCACGTGCCGCAACGATAGCCTCATGTCGAGCTGCAGATCAATCTCACGATCACTCCAGTCCACGGAACGCAGCTCCATCATAGGACGCGTGACCACGCTTTGGTCCAAGTACGCCGTGGCTCTCAACGACATCGAGCACGTCCACATTGATTCGCACAAGATTGTCAAATGTGCCGATGCTCGGCGACTATCTACAGTGGCCTACTCGATGGACGTGTATCTTGCGGTGGCGGAACTTGGTATTTATGACCACTGGACCTCCAGACAACCACATTATCAAGTCCAGCATCGATACTCTGACTGTCGAACCCTCCGTCTGTCTCTTATCACCTCCGTCCTCGACGCCCATCGCGACCAATCCTGCGAATTTTGCAAATGCATGTTCAACTTCTTTGTGTCGTTTCCATTCCCAAAGCGATGGCCCAAAGTACTGGTGCAAACGGTGCCTGGATGGCATTCCCTTCTCATTCGCTGCCGAAAACAAGGTTAGTTCGCTAGCATTTCCCTACTTCTCAATCGTCAATGAACTCCAGGGCTACAAAACTGGGTCAACCGACTGCTTTTCATGGCCCGCCACCTCACCGCTCGCGGGTTTGCATCCCTACGCTGCGATGGCTACAGCACCGTCATGTACATTCTCAAGGATTTCCTTCTCGAGCCAAGTACACGTCCGTCGTGTCAGTAATATGAATGTACTGTTTCGATGTTGATTGCAAGGATATCATCGTTAACTATGGATCGGCGGTTTTGTCTTCAACGTTGTCGGTCATCGTGTCTTCACTGTCGAGGCTCAAAGAGCTCAGATCTTGAGGCAACAGCGACCAGCTGCCTTGGGGCATCGTGGCTGAAGGAAACTCGGGCGACAAACATACGAGGGAGTGATGCCAGGCCAAGTCGTCGCTTTCGTCCAGATCGGCACCATCCATCGAAGGCCATGATTGCTCTAAACATGTAGATAAGCCAATTAGGAACCACCGTCGATACTCATTGAGTACGTGCGAGTCGAAGCAGCAATTCCTTGAGCGAACACGTGGTGCTGTGGATCATAGGAAGCTCTAACGACTGCGTGCATTGACACATGGGGCACTGATTGAGGAGCGTGCCAGCTACAGGTATGGACTCTATCGCGCGGAGGAGGGAAGCAGCCCCGCTGGCCCAGTTCACGACGAAATCTGCGGGGGCAGTGGCAAACACTCCCAACATGATCGACGTCGAGGGTAATTCGTGCGGGAGGGGCAGGATGAACGAGAGATCGGAAAGAGGATCACAAGGGGAACTGGCAGTAAGCGAAGGCTCACTGTCAGAGAGGGTGGCTGATATGGGGGACATGACAGTCGCGTACAGCTGATGGGGTCGCACGGAAATGTCGTCCGATTCCATGGGGTGCGCGTTGTATAGCTCGGAGTTCGAATACGAAATGTGAATGCGAATAATCTGTGCATGATTAGGTCAAAGGTACGCGGAACGTTGCATGTCTACCTGATCGTCTTGCGTGGGAAGGTCGTGCGTGTCCACTGCCAACGATACATGCAACTTCATAACGTTGGATGTCGCGCATTCTTGGGATGTCCAGTGCAGCTTGAAGTGTCCAAATACCCCGTTGCTATCGTGAATTGAACAAATCAAACAAGTACATCTGAAAGGACAATGCAAGCGTACCCATCTTCGTTCATGAGCCATAGACCAAACGCATTCATCTCCAAGGGAAGCAGTTCACAGTGGTTATCTGATGCAACCAAGCCAACGTGCATGTAAAACTCCATGGCAGAATGGTCGTCGCACCAGTACCACTCGGACGGGGGCTGTTTGAGGATCACAACATTCGTGTCGATACGTCGAGGGGTAGACAACGCCTTCTTGTCGCTTTGGGGGTCTAGCTCTTCCCCGATTGCTCGCTTCGCACGCTTTCTCTTGCTGCCAGTGGGTATGGGGGAGTCTTCTTCGTTTGCATCGTCCGAATCACCGTCCGAGTCTTGGTTTGGATGGACGGGCTTGTGCTTCCACTTGTGAAGAGACGTCAGCGCGTACAGCCCTTGTGTTTCATCCGGTGACAAGAATGACAGGTGTCGATATGGATCGGGTGTGGACTCTTGCATTGTTTGTTGTGGGGATGGACGCAAATCGGGAAGTGAAGATCAAGCGTATTGAACGAGCAGAAGGCATGGCGATCATCACCGGTATGCCTCGCGGGCTAAATATAGATGTAAAAACCGTCTGGCGTTACTTCTCCGAAAATTATGAAACGACCAACCATGAAACGACCAACTTTATTAGTATGATTCACGACAGACTAACGATTAATACGACGACGCGACAAAGAAGCCACCCGACTGCCGATGGGGAGGCACCATTTGCATGTTGAAGGGCGACTGTGCATTCCGCCACATTGCCGCCGCCGACGGGGACAGGAAATCCTCCTGCAAAAGAAGTTCATCTCATTCGATGCATCGAAGCGAAACCCCCTAAATACTGTATGCAGTTAGTTACCTCAGTGGTCCAAGCACTTGGTCCACTCGGTCGTTGGAGTTCCGAGTGGGCTGGAGACTCGATGTGAGTCCAGCCGCTGCAGCGAGCCTTTCCCGGCGTGTAGAAGAACCTTCTGCGCACAAAATGCATGAGGCGGTTGCCATACTCGTTTGGCGGTACAGCACTGACGTTGGTCATGTCTTTGCAGCACACAACTCCGAGAAACCACCGCTGCAACGTCCATCTCCACGTATATTGTTGCAGCATGTCGATCATGCCTACATAGTACAGTCTGTCTCGACCCTTGGACATGGTGGCGCTGGTGGCAGTGGGATCTTGAGGTGGAAGGAATTTCACACCGAGGAGGATGCTGTAGTCCATGATGCTGCGTGACGCTAGGAACGTGATGTCTTCGATGAGCTGCGACTGCATCTCAGCCTCGTCCGCGTCGTCGATGTGCACGGCTTGGCGCAGTTTGAGAAAGTCAATGTCCATCATCAGCTTGGAAATCGGCTCTCGGTTCTGCGACCGCACAATGTACTGCTCGACGTGGTGGGACTGGATCGCTTGTCTTCGGTCGGTGTTGCCCTTGAGGTCAAAGCGTTGGTCCACGGGGCCTTCGTTGAACAGGTTTTGCATCACGACAAAGTACATGCGGCGAGTGCCCACGGGCAGCGAGATCGAGTGGCAGCCAAAGTACCGACACAAGTACGACTTGGGATGCGACTGCAAGTAGCCGTGGTAGTACGGCCTACAGGAGTCAATCTCGTCAGCTGGTTAGGTTGAGGAGACAGGCTGCTGTTACAAGATGGACCGCAGCACTTCAAACTCGTCTTCGGGCACACTTTTCACCATGAACCGTTTGTTCACTGGAGCAACACATACGTTAGGTTACGTCACTCTGGGGGGGGCGAGGGGCCTGCCTACCTGTAAAGTAGAAGAGGTTGCCGCTCTTGCCCTCGGACCCGTGCTCGTTCATGTTTTGGTGCAGTGCAAACGAGTCAATGTAGTCGGCCTCGGTCACGCCAAACATGGATCGAATGTGCCCAAACACTGCGGGCGCACAGTCTCGAAAGTTCAACGTGCTGCTGTCGATTTCGCCGTGCACGACAATCGATTTGTGCTCGACGCTTGTGTAGTCCTCCCAGTGGACCTCCGTCGTGGGTTTCGACTTAGCACTTTGCGCCGATTCGATGATGCCCATGGACGTGTACTTCATGATGCACTGGCGCAGTACGTTTGACACGCTCAGATCGTCCCCGCTGAGGCGACCGTCGTCCTCCGTCGCTCGCGTCGTGTTATCCATCGGAACGGCGCATGGCGACTCGAGTGTCGCGGACGCCGAAGCTTGGACCGGAGTAGCTGCCGGTCGTCGACGCCAGCACAGCACCCAGCCAGCCTTGCGCTGAAACAAGACAAACACAGCCACGAGTTGCAACACTTGGGTGACCTGGTGAAGGGTGTTGACTGGCCACGAGCGATATCCAGTCGATGCCTCGACGTGAACGTCGGCGGCGTAGAGACAGATGTCCATAACTCCACCAACGCCAAACACCAACAGGTAGGGCAATATCAACTTGGCCATGCGTCGAGTGGTCGTGTGCGCTTGGGTCTCCAGTACGCGCGATTTTTTCCACGTGACAAACAGGGCAATCGCAATGTACGCCAAGACAACATACATGGGCAGGACCATCCAAATGCGGAGGCTGCTCGTCGGTTCCAACTTGGAGCGAAAGAGGAGGTAGAACGCCCCAACCCACGCCCCCGCCGCTGGCCACGCCACAGCATGATGCAGGAAGTTGTTGGCTTGGAAGGGCAAGAACGGGTTCGACAGCGACGAGATCAAATCCATGGCTAGCATGAGGTACCAAAACGTGGATGCGGACGAGAAGTACAACATCGCCCAAAACGGAATCGAAACACTGCCCGGAAGTGGCGACGCATGGAACAACGCGGCGTGGGCAATGTCGACCAACGTCAGTGGAGGCGGTGGCGCGTCACTGTCTAGTGGACCAGTGACCCAAGCGTCCATGGATAAGCCAATGTTTAGCGCTGCCAGGTGCATGATGGATCGAACGAGAATGCACATGCAGGACGAAAACAGGATGAAGATCAGGACCGGTCCAGGGTGAGTTCGAGTGCGATGATGGCGTGTAAAGTGCAACGTCGAGCCTGCGAGCACCGCCAAGGCCACGACAATCAGCGCCGCGTCGAAAACAGCAGCAGCGACTTCCACCATGGCATGCAAAGGCAGCAAATGCAAATGGAATGTACGACTCAAATGAGAGGGTTCGATATTTTGTCCCACAAGATCGGCCACTCTGGCCCCATTGGGTCTCCTGCTAATACGCCGTTACAGGTGTCTTGAAGTTTGTATGGAATTCGTGACAGTGCCCTTTCGGGAGTGGCCGAATCTTCTTGCCTATCAAAACAAACTTCACACAAGGGGCAAGTTCACACGTGGACACTTGGAGTCGTGTGTGTACTCTTTCATTCGGAGATTGTGCTCATGTTGATGAGAGAATTGAGTGCATCACACATACTCCTTTGTGGAACTCTTTGATCGGAGCAAGGAAGTAGAGAGGATCATTCGCTTAGTCATTGATCCACTCGCATTGAATGGAAGCTCCGGCCAGAAGACCCCCACTGTCGAAAGAAGGACAGCATCATATCGCCTGATGGGATGGTACGTTGGGTTGAGATGGAAGGTAAATGGATGGTGACTCGATGTCCTTCGAGAGATGATGACATTCCTTGTACTGACCATACATAAGTTATTCACTGTATGCCATCATTGGGTACATTACGTACACACTATGATGTTGAATTGATTGACCCTTCGAAGGTCATGTTTTGCTTACTACACTATTTTTCGTTTAAGTTCAGGTTATTTCCGGTATATTTCGTCCGACGCACAACTGATTCACGCCATGTGCGTTATGTTCGCCAAGAATTCAATATATTTCGTCCAGACCCTTCTTCGTTGCATTATAGTTCGACTAATGTCCAGTATATGTCACCACACAATCAGTACTAGTATATTTCACACGTTGTTCAACATATTTCAAATAATGATGTTCCATGTACTTCGATAAATCGATAAATCGACGCAGTAATCGATGGAACGAAGTAGCCAATGAAATTTTCGAAAAAAAACTTTCCATCAATCAAATTACAGGTTTATCTGGTGCATTGCCAAGCTTAATCATTTCACAAAGAGTTCAACGTTGTATCGGGCAGGAGTCACAGTGAGTATATTTAGTTCACGTAAAATGACGCTCGACGATTTCACGTCGTTCGTCGAATCTACCGAAAATGCCAAATTTAGCTCAAAAGCACAATATCTACTGTATGGTATGATTTAGACAAGTATCCATCACCTGCGATTTACTTGATTTGCTTCGAAAATCGAAATAGATGGTACATCATTTGAAATATATTGAACAACGTGTGAAATATACTGGTTGTGGGGTGACATATACTGGACATTAGTCGAACTATAATGCAACGACGTAGGGTCTGGACGAAATATATTGAATGCTTGGCGAACATAACGCGCATGGCGTAAATCAGGACGAAATATACCGGAATTAACCCGAACTTAAACGAAAAATGGTGTAGTACTACAGTATATACTACAGTACTCAGGAGTATTAATATTACCCGTTGAAAAACGATTTGATTCGCCAAAATGACCTTATTTCAGCCAATCAGTATTTGTGTTTGTGGGTGAGGGTGCGGACCAGTGCCGCATTTTTTGTGATTTAAAGAACTTACAGTTAATAATGGCACGAGGCACTGTACTGTAGTTTAGGCTATTTTATCATATGGAAGTCAGCGCCTGATGAATTGATGCGTTGATTTGCATCTATTATTGTGTGTTCTACTCCAAATTTCCATGGGCGGTTCTTAAATCGCCCCGATCCGAATGTCCGCGAAATGACCCCAATGACAAAAAGTGGGATTTCTCTCACAAAACAATCGATAATAATCACCCCTATTATGACGCAGTTTCCTGAGCTGAGTCAATGGACGACGATCCAATCTTGCAGCATAAACACCTGAGCGCGTAGGCCTCGTATGCGAGTCTCTTCGCA